CTTTCTTTTTCCCCTTGCCTACGATGGCGCAATTCCATTAGGTGAAAATCAGCCTGTTGGCCCGGTCCAAACCTCTGGTCTAGTCGACTAAAGAGCTCCTTGAGTGAGGGCTCCTTACCTCCTGATTGGCACCCGAGTACCTTCAGGGCAGGACCCTGAAGACTCGCTGCCAGGAATACAGCTGCCTGTTTGTCGTCCCAGCCATTGGCTTTACGACATGCCTTGAAATGCTCCTTATAGTCCTTCCATGGGACCTTTCCAGTAAACCTATCAGGGCAGATGTTGGGTTTCTTAAGCACGCCTTCCTTTGGTGCTTCTGTTTCCTTATCCAGGGGTGGCGACTTGCCCTCATCCTTCTCCTTTGCTGGTTGCACTGTTTTGGCTGCAACCTCTTTCTCCTTTCCTGTTATCGACACAACTGTGTTAGCAGGAGTCCGTAATCCCGTCCTAGGAGTTGTCCTGAAGGTGCTGGAGACTGCAGGGCTTGGTGTATCGAAAAACAACTCTGGGGTGTCCACCCCTGTCATCCCTTCTGGACTCTGTTTTCTTCCTCTTTCCTCTAGTAAAGATCGCATGCTGATGAGCTCCTCTTCGAGAATCCTCTTGTCCTCAAGTGCGTCCCTCAACATGGTCTCCCCTCTGTCTGCCTCGATCCGAAGAATAGCTATTTCCTCCTCAAATAGTCCAATGTCCTTAGCATCCATATTTTAAGTCCAGTCTCCCCTATGTGGTAAGTAAATCTATCGTAGGGTTGGTTAAATGAAACCAATGAGAATAATTTGTTACGCCTTATCCCACTTCTGACACCAATGTGGCGGATCTCGATTTTCTCGAGAAGTGACGGTCTCGAGAACCCTCCAGACGAGCGGCAGTCCAGATGGTCCTAGGGCGATAATCCGTTTGGAGACTGTCTGTCGCCGCACGTAACTAATTTCCCCTTATATTGTTCGAACGATAAATCTACCCAACCAGACAATAAGTGGGACCCAGACACACAAGCTAAAGCTTCAAGAAGTCTCTTTATTCAGCCATGCAACAACTGCAGTTCCTTTACTAAAAATGCCTCAACAAAAGGCAAGTACTTAAAAAGATGAGGGTTTCCTTAAGGGGAAGGGTTTCCTTAAGGAAAGGGGTTTCCTTAAGGGAAGGGATTTCCTGAAGGGAAAGGGAGTTTCTCAAGGAAGGGGATTTCCTAGGCTCCAGACGACCCTCCGAGGTCTCCCGAAGGCAGATGCCGATCCTCCTGATGAGCTCGACCCTTCGTCTCCCGCGAGGCAGTTGTCATTCCGGATACCTTAGAAATGGGTTCCTCAAGGAAGGGGGTTTCCTTAAGGGAAAGGGAGTTCTTTAAGGGAAGGGGCTTCTTAAGGGAAGGGATTTCCTTAAGGGAAAGGGAGTTTCTCAAGGAAGGGGGTTTCCTAGGCTCCAGACGACCCTCCGAGGTCTCCCGAAGGCAGATGCCGATCCTCCTGATGAGCTCGACCCTTCGTCTCCCGCGAGGCAGTTGTCGATCCCGATACGTTAGGAAATGGGCTCCCAAGGGAAAGGGTTTACTTAAGGGAAGGGGTTTCCGTAAGGGAAAGGGGGTTTCTTAAGGGAATGGATTTACTTTAGGGAAAGGGTTTCCGTAAGGGAAAATAAGTTTCTTAAAGGGAATTAGTTTCCTTAAGGGAACGGATTTCCTTAAGGGAAAGAGACTTTCTTATCGATAGTCAACAGTAAAAGTGCTTCACTAAGATCTGCCAAGTATGTCTTCTAAAGCAAATGGAGAATTCCTGCACAGAGGTGACAAGAATAAACCCAAATATGCTGTCTTCAATCGAACGAGTATTAAGCTTCACTTAATCAAGTAAATCCAAGGATCAATTCCACAATTGCACCACTATTTATAAAAGAAAAGGAGTGTGTAACATTAACAATACAGCAGCTCAACACTCACGGTAAGATTTGCGGTCACTCCCCGACACAACACTCTGTCTGTCTCCACGAGGCTTTTCTTAGACTGCCACTCTACGGCGCGCCAAAACAGTCTGGCCAGAATGCGCGCGAACGCTGCCTTATATACCCCATTCTAAAAATAGCGCAAAAGCTATGGCGGGCAAACGAAACATATAAAAAGTATGGAGCGCCGAATACATTTCGTTACACTAGGCTCCTATACCGGCGACTTGGAGGGTCGGATGTCCATGACCTTCGCCTAGGGCAGGAAGGTCCCAGCCAGTGGGTGGATCCGGTCAAAATTGTCAGGCCTGGATTTAACTCCTCAACAAGGAGCCCTGAAAATATTAAATACAATCATAAACACCTATCCTAGCATTTCAGGCTAAACTTAAGTACACTTTAGTACATCAAATGGACCACAAAACAATGTGCTTATCCTCCCAAAGGGGCGTGTCTCAAAAAGCAGATTTGCCACGTTAACACATCTTAATATGCACGAGCTAAAGTACATCAAAATTGATACATTCACCAATGTTTGAAATGAAATAATGGCATCAACGAATACGGAAAAATCATTTTCATACTGGCTCCTTAGACCTGGAACACTGTCAAGGGGTGCACATTTACTGGCTCAAACAGCTTGTGGTAACAGGCACCAATTCAGGCAAAATATGTTGAATAAATCTCTAAGCAGCTACCGTAATGTTCGGAATATAAGCCACGGCTTATACCGTACGTTGATTTTGTCCATGAAAATGTTTGCTGCGGCTTATACACAGGGCGGCTTATACGCCGAGCCTTGAAGAATAAAAATGAGATTTAAATTTGTATTTAATGTACTGGCACTTTAAGAAAAGATCTATTGCTGAAATAAATTATCAATCCTTACCGGACTTGAGGTACCGAAAAGTCATTAACAAACAGTGGAAGCACATCCCAAAAATGCACCAAAAGTGCAGCCTGCCGGCAGGCCGCGCCGTGCATGAGTAAATAAAGCTGTCTCATTTTGTTGCATGCTGTACATTGATACATTTGCTGTACATTCGTTGTCATAAAGAGGTGTACTTTCTCGGTAACAATAATTACCAATATTTCTGCTGTTTCAAAAAAAAATAATACTTTTATGGAGTTTTTATGGATTCTTTATTTGACAATCAGTTGTTCAACATCACAATATAATTTGTTTTCTTCTGAAAATGTATTCAAGAAATGATGTAAAATGCGAAACAGGGGCTAAATCACCCCTTACGAAATTAATGGATTCATCCATAAAGAAGCCTGCATCCTTATCGTGTTGATGGGTTTCGAAGAAAATACGATTGAAAACTGGATTTTTTTGACGTTACTTCTCGTCAGTAATCACAACAATTTGATAAGTTTTGTTGTAAAAAAGGACCTGTTTATTCTTGGGACAAAATAAATCAGCATCTGTTGCCACAAAGCAAGATTCAGTCAGACAACACACGATGGGTTGCATACTCCGAATGCTGCGGGAAAATGTTGTTATTCGCCGGCACACGTGCTGCCGGGCCATGCGCCAACTTTTAGGCCGGGGACTGGCCGGTGTCCAGCTGGCAGCAATTCCCGGTGTTTATTTCTCATCATTAATTTCCATACATTTTTTTAACGAGTATCGACTGTAAATGTTTTGATATAACTTTTGTGGCCCTTTTTATAGCTTTCGTAGCGTAAATGGAACTGGTCAAAAGCTTTTGACTTCAGAATTTGGAGGCCTTACAACATTGAAACCGCTGTGGTCGGTGCGGCTTATACGCTGGTGCGGCTAATACGCTGACTTCAAATCTTAATTGCAGATTTTTGCGTGCTGCGGCTTATACTCTGCGCGGCTTATATTCCAAAAAATACGGTAATGCTGAAAAACCAGGATTCTCGAAATCCGTAGTCACAAAATAGTAGCTGAGCTAATGCTGTAATGCTTGGAGCTATCGCTGTGTATGTGCTGTCACACCTCAAGCCTGTTGCTTCTCCCTAAAAAAGTGTGCCCAAAAATCTACAACACCCGGTGTAATGTGAACACTTCAGTGAACACTAATGCTACTTACTCAGCTTTAGAAATCCCCATACCAAACACAGCTTTATTAACAATACAAGACCACACCTTGTTTTGCATAAAATGTACATATAAGGTAACTGGGTCAAACTAAGCAGCACGTAGTTGAAAAACTTTGTAGGACGTAAACTTAACGTCACTCTGACAAGATGACAATACTAGTTAATGACTATTCAGTGTAAAAAAAGAAATTGCTCCCTCTTCTGACAATCGCCCTAGCAGCATGCAGCGGCTACATGAAAAGATAGGACACAATATTTTGCTATGAAAACTTATGAACTTCATGATTTTTTTGTGAATATGTATGAGGTATAGTAAAACAAATATTTATCATGGTTTAGTTCGGGTGGATAGTCAATATTAGCTCCACTCGGTATTGGAAGTTGACAGATGACTAGCTAGTCTGTCAACTTCCAATACCTGGAGGAGCTAATATCGACTATCAACCCTCAAACCATGTTTTATTTGTATACTACAACATGGGATGGTGGTCCTTACCATTAAGATTGTTTGGTATTTATGGTAACTCTGTGACTCACATGTAGCACGATATGTGACAGAGGGGAAATTCCCCTTTCCCTCTTTTGTGTGGGTCATTGTGTTACCAGAATCTCAGGAATGGAATTGTTTTGAGATACAAATGTATATCTAGGGGGGATCTGTTAGGTAAAAAAAAGTGTAGGGCATGGGTAGGGTAAAGGGAGATTGGGGGGGGGGGGGGGGTGGTACCCTTCTGTCACATATTGTGCTGGGTACACTATGCTGTAACTGTGCCAGACCCATACAAGTTGGTACATAATTAGCTAGTACATACTTTACACCTAGTACAATGATTGTAGTGGAAGTTGACATCCCAATTTTGTTGAAGTGCAAAGCATTTGCCTTTAAATCATTGCATAGTGATTTTTTGCAGATTGAGAGAAGCATACAAGTAATTAATGTCAGTTTTATTCAACACACTAAAAAGTTATCTTTGTCATGACACCAGTTCTGCGGTGCACAAATCTGAGTGCACCCTCCCATGGCAGCTACAGAGATTCCTCACCATGTAGTAACACCTACGGAACCTGGTGCCACTTTGATTGTGACACCGGCTATAGCATCACTGGTAGCGCCTCCAGACGTTGTGTGGTTGCAGAGGGTCAGACTACTGTATCTTGGTCGGGATCAACTACTGCATGCCAGAGTAAGTTCCTAAGATTTTCTGAGATGTTGTTTAATTCCTGGCCAGTGGCTCACAACTCTTAGTGGTAATGTTTGAAGTAGCTTGGAAATACCATTACATTTCAGAAAAATCCCTATGGAATTAGAGACTGAAAACCAAATCCATATGTGTGACCTAGGTAAGAGTTTAGCCAAGGTTGGACGAAGTCTTCATTGCATTACGACTGACGTCCAGGATGAGAATTCTCTACATAAGACCTCCCAAAATTTGGACCAGATTTTTGTTACGCTTTACCTCGTTATTTTACGCCTACATTTTCTATGTGTCCTTCTCTATTGATCCAGGGGTTCAGGAATTCCATATGTGATGCTGACCGACATTAATCAGGAAAATAAACTCTAAAGCAACGTTGAACTTGTACGTGTTTGTAGTCTCTTTTCATCAGTTTTATTCCCGAGTCGTACGTCATGTACGTGCACACGAAAGCGCGCACGCACGCTAGCGCCCTCATTTGTTTAGTTTTGGTTGGAACAGTGACGTCACACCAGCCAACCGACGTCACAAAAACGCTCAACCAATGACCAAAGCCGAAACATGTTTCTGGTAACTGGTGCGAAAACACGCTTGGTCATTGGATTAGCGACCGCGCCTTCAAGTAAGTGCGCATGCGTATGAGGATGGTTACTAAGCAAATCAGGCGTGCGCACTGCATATTCACGCTGCATAGTCTGGCTCCCAGACCAGACGTGATAGCGTCGAGAATAATTGTCAGGTCTAGGGAACCAGACTACACGCTGCACGGACGTACGTCATGTACGAGTAGAATAGACTCGGTGGTGAGAAACTGATGAAAAGAGTCTACAAGCACGTACAGGTTTAACGTTGCTTTAGAGTTTATTTTCCTGATTAAGGTCGGTCAGCATCACATATGGAATTCCTGAACCCAGCGGCCCAATAGATAAGGACACATAAAATACTACGACGTAAAAATTGGCTTCTCCAACAAGGTAAAAATATTGAAAATATTGGTCATAAATTTTTTCGCCCAGTTTTGAGCACTTCATACCCTGGACTCCCTCCGTTACGTAGGGAGGAAAGGGAGCATGGGGGGGGGGGACAGCCCCCCAATGAAACCTTGTTGCCCCCTCAGTTGCCCCCCCCCCCCCCCCCCACTGAGATTTTGAGTTTCTAAAAAAATTATCATTGATCTACATGACGCCCCCCTATGAAATGTTCCAGCCCCCCAAGCGCCCCCCCCCCCCCCCCCCCCCAACTGAATCATTCCTGGCTACGCCACTGCATGCCACGCAGGTAAGTTCAACAGGCTTTACTTCAACAGACCCAAGCCAGATATTTAGGGGTTTTTTAGGTCGGTTTGGGTTGGTTTTCTCAGGACCGGGCATGGAGGAAATTGCTTAAGGGTCCCGGTGATCTGCTTGTGGAAGTCATGGTGCCACTTGAAGCTTGTTGATGAGGTGCATAGGTGGATGAGATCTTGAATTTGTTCCAGTGATAGGCTGGTGTGGTCTAAGAGGGTGGAGATATGGTATACCCACAAACTACACATTGTCACTATTTATTTTTGCTGTTTTCTGACGGCCCAGTGTTCATGATGTTCACTTGTATGATTTGAACCAAGGACTTATACTGCATGTCAGTGCAGATGGTATGACCACTCAATAACATGCTGCCAATATTTATCACAGGCAATGGCAGAGTCTTTTGCCAAAGATAAATCATTGTGATATGCTTGCTTGTTTACTTGACAGATCAAGAACATGAACAACGTTTCCAAATGCTCAAATCAGTTACAATATAAATGTGGATTCTGGGTTATTTCCTTCGTTTCTTGTCATTGCTGTTTTTGTTTTTAATTTTTCAGTCAATACTTGTCAGACGCCCACTCCAGGTGAAGGACTTGGACCGACTGATACCAGTACCTGTTCAGCTAGTAACAGTGTACCGTATGGTACCACATGTACATATGAATGTTCTGAGGGCTTCAGGCTAGTCGGCACGTCAACTATAACATGTGGACCTGAAAGTCAGTGGCTACAAACACTGCCACTGTGTCAAGGTGAGTGGTAGACAATAACAAACTTCTTTTTGAAACATCAAAATTTCTTGATCGGTTAGATCATGCACAAAAGAAAAATTGAAGTTATTTTGCCAGTGTGTTTCTGCACGTCAAAGCAGGGCTGGACCACTGCAAAAGCTTTGTATCAAGGGGACAAGCAAGAATCTTTTTTTCTTTCTTAAATACAAAATAGTCCCCTAAAATGCCAAGTTGGTTTAAATTCTCTAATTTTAGTAATGAGAAATAAAATCATATAGTCAAAATAAACGTGTTAACTGCAAATTAAACTTTTTGCCGCATTTGATCAACGACATCCATAACATGTGGCTTGTTGACAAGAACGTATAATCAATTTTGTGTTGATGTTAGGTGGTCAAAATATTGATAATTGAAAATTCTGACACATAGCCTAATTCTAAGCTCATTTGGACACATGGAGTGTTCTTGTCGGACCACTAGGTTAGTAATTGTACTGTGGATCTTCGCCCCCATGACAACCACAGAAATTCTTCAATTCTCTATGCTATTTTCCATGTAGGCCTACCTTTTATTGCCACATTTTTACATCCAATACCAAAACTCTTTTCCGCAGTCTCAATATTTAGTGGAATTTCATTGCTTGCAGAGATAACCTGTGCAAGCAGCGACCTGCCTACCCCAGCCAATGGCGTAAAGACTGGCTGTTTCAGAGACCATGTACCTTTTGGAACCTCCTGTAGCCTTTCATGTAACCGTGGTTACAGGCCAACAACAACAACACAAAGGACTTGTCAAAGTGACAGTAGCAACAATGGAGTTTGGTCAGGTGGTACCATAACATGCAGCGGTAAGAAAAAGTCATCCACTTATTGTGGCAACTTCCCAGCTTTTAAATATTAATCTAACCAACTAAAAACTGTTATTATCTGCCAAAGGCTGGTCAGTATAGTTAACCGTAGGTTCTTGTTTTTGGGTTTTTTTTCTAAGCCTTTGTGCTGGCTGCTGTCGCTTTAAAGGGAATGTACAACATTTGCTTTTGCTGCAATTTTCAGAAATAAATGGATTGGAGGATTAGTATGTTATAGGAAATATTGTTAAAATGACTTTTTTTCACGTTTGGGCTTGTAGATGCTGGAAAAACCAAGAAAACCAATCATGTTTCTGCAGTCTGGTTCCCTGACCCCACTTAAGATGAAACGGAGCAATTAATAGACTTGGGGGAATTGTAAGGTCAGAGAATCAGTCTAGCAGACTTGTACCTCTTCACAGGTGTGTAATCAATTGCAAAGAAAATGCGGAGTAACTAATTATGAAAAATTCTGAGCAATTTTTGAAAATTAGACAGTTTTCTCCAACGCTGGTCGGCCGACCAGCGTTGGAAAAATACCATTTTTCTTGAAAATGTCAGCACACCAGGAGCCAAGATTTTACAGGATGCTTTAGACAGTCATTCCCTAACAATCCAGTAAGGCATTTCGCGATAATTTGATCATTTCGTTTTGTGATGTTTGCAAATGTTGTATCTTCCCTTTAAGCAACTGCTCCATTTTAGCTTTCTGCCACCTGTACATTGGTCTAGTGGCCAGTTCTACCATTCCGGCCACCTTCCCATTCTGGCCACCTTCCCATTCTGACCACCTTCCCATTCCGGCCTCCTTCCCATTCCGGCCACCTTCCCATTCCGGCCATCTTCCATTCCGGCCACCTTCCCATTCCAGCCACATTCCCATTCTGGCCACCTTCCCATTCCGGCCACCTTCCCATTCCGGCCACCTTCCATTCCGGCCACCTTCCATTCTGGCCACATGCCCATTTCAGCAGCCTTCCCATTCCATCTACCTTCCCATTCCAGCCACCTTCCCATTCCGGCCACCTACCCATTCCAGCCACCTTCCCATTCTGGCCATGTTCCCATTCCGGCCACCTACCGATTCCGGCGACCTTCCCATTCCGGCCACCTTCCCATTCCGGCCACCTTCCCATTTAGCCGCCTTCCCATTCCAGCCGCCTTCCCATTCCGGCCACCTTCCCATTCTGGCCACCTTCTCATTCCAGCCACCTTCTCATTCTGGCCACCTTCCCATTCCAGCCGCCTTCCCATTCCGGCCACCTTCCCATTCTGGCCACCATCCCATTCCGGCCACCTTCCCATTCTGGCCACCATCCCATTCCAGCCACCTTCTCATTCCAGCCACCTTCCCATTCTGGCCACCTTCCCATTCCAGCCGCCTTCCCAATCCGGCCACCTTCCCATTCCAGCCGCCTTCCCATTCCGGCCGCCTTCCCATTCTGGCCACCTTCCCATTCCGGCCTCCTAACCATTCTGGCCACCTTCCCATTCCGGCCTCCTTCCCATTCCAGCTGCCTTCCCATTCCGGCCACCTTCCCATTCCAGCTGCCTTCCCATTCCAGCCGCCTTCCCACTCTGGCAACCTTCCCATTCCGGCCACCTTCCCATTCCGGCCACCTTCCCATTCCGGCCTCCTTCCTATTCTGGCCACCTTCTCATTCTGGCCTCCTTCCCATTCCGGCCACCTTCCCATTCCGGCCACCTTCCCATTCCAGCCACCTTCCCATTCTCAGTGGCCACCTTCCCATTCTGGCCACCTTCCATTCCGGCCACCTTCCATTCCGGCCACCTTCCATTCTGGCCACCTTCCCATTCTGGCCACCTTCCCATTCCGGCCACCTTCCCATTCTGGCCACCTTCCCATTCCGGCCACCTTCCCATATTCCGGCCACCTTCCCATTCCGGCCACCTTCCATTCTGGCCACCTTCTATTCTGGCCACCTTCCATTTTAGCCACCTTCCCATTTCAGCCACCTTGCCATTCCATCCATAAATTCCCATTCCGGCCACCTTCCCATTCCGGCCACCTTCCCATTCCGGCCACCTTCCCATTCCAGCCACCTTCCCATTCTGGCCACATTCCCCTTTTAGCCACCTTCCCATTCCGGCCACCTTCCCATTCCGGCCACCTTCCCATTCGAGCCTCCTTCCCATTTAGCCGCCTTCCCATTCCAGCCGCCTTCCCATTCCAGCCACCTTCCCATTGTGGCCACCTCCCCATTCCGGCCACCTTCCCATTCCAGCTGCCTTCCCATTCCAGCCGCCTTCCCATTCTGGCAACCTTCCCATTCTGGCAACCTTCCCATTCCGGCCACCTTCCCATTCCGGCCACCTTCCCATTCCGGCCTCCTTCCCATTCCGGCCACCTTCCCATTCCGGCCACCTTCCCATTCCAGCCACCTTCCCATTCTCAGTGGCCACCTTCCCATTCTGGCCACCTTCCCATTCCGGCCACCTTCCCATTCCGGCCACCTTCCATTCCGGCCACCTTCCCATTCCGGCCATCTTCCATTCTGGCCACCTTCCCATTCCAGCCACCTTCCCATTCTGGCCACCTTCCCATTCCGGCCACCTTCCCATTCCGGCCACCTTCCCATATTCCGGCCACCTTCCCATTCCGGCCACCTTCCATTCTGGCCACCTTCTATTCCGGCCACCTTCCATTTTAGCCACCTTCCCATTTCAGCCACCTTGCCATTCCATCCATAAATTCCCATTCCGGCCACCTTCCCATTCCGGCCACCTTCCCATTCCGGCCACCTTCCCATTCCAGCCACCTTCCCATTCTGGCCACATTCCCCTTTTAGCCACCTTCCCATTCTGGCCACCTTCCCATTCCGGCCACCTTCCCATTCCAGCCTCCTTCCCATTTAGCCGCCTTCCCATTCCAGCCGCCTTCCCATTCCGGCCACCTTCCCATTCTGGCCACCTTCCCATTCCGGCCACCTTCCCATTCTGGCCACCTTCCCATTCCAGCCGCCTTCCCATTCCGGCCACCTTCCCATTCTAGCCACCTTCCCATTCCAGCTGCCTTCCCATTCCGGCCACCTTCCCAATCCAGCCACCTTCCCATTCCAGCCACCTTCTCATTTCAACCACCTTGCAGCCAACATCTGAATGGAGCCACCTGTTAATTCCAGCAATCTTCCCATTTAAGCCCTCTGCTTGTTCCAACAATCTTCCTATTCTGACAATGTACATGTACATTAGAGATCCATTTTTTTCCTTCTCAGTTGTAACCTGCCCACCCCTGTCAGCACCTGCTTTTGGCGCAATCTCAACCTGTTTGCGCAATGGACAAAGTAGATCTGCATCTGCACAGCAGCCCTTTGATAGTTTGTGTCAGCTGACATGCAACACTGGCTACACCCTATCTGGATCAGCCAGTCGGACCTGCCTTGTGTCAGGGACGTGGGATGGAAGTACCACCGTCTGTACAGGTCAGTCTTTCTTGGAACTATTAATTTGTGGATTGCTTTATAACGTCTCTTTTTAATCATATCTTCCACCAGAATTGTACGGCTGAAGTCCAGGATCCATACACAACGTTGTCTGGATTTGTTATTCAGTGACTTGATTTACCAAAAGACTTGGACTCGGACTTTGACTCAATAGTCATGACCCAGACTTGACACTGAGGACTTGTGACTCCCTAGTAACCTTTTTTTTTTAAATTATTGATTATATTAAAAATAAGAAGAAAATTGTTGTTCCTAAATGTGTTTCTTTTTCTTTCTTTTTTGAGGGAGGGGTTTATCTTTAATTTTTAAGTTGTCAAAAACTCCAACATGATTTTCTTTCCTTTGAGACAAGTACCATATCCAAATGTCAGTAACTCCTGATTCTCCTTGCACATAGATATTACTGAGCCAGTATTGCTGTGTCCTGCAAATCAAGTTATATTCGCCAGGGAAGGGCATCAACTTGTCTCAGTCTCTTGGAACTGGGAACCCTTCACAGTAAGAAACTATGTCAAATTTGTTAGTTATAGAAATTAATTACTGGAAAAAAGAAAAGAAAAGAGTTTTGACAAGGAATTCTAGACTTCCTTTCAGGAAATTCACGTTGTGGTGCGCACACATATTCTATTTTGTTTGGCATAGCGTGGGAGTGAAGTCTTTTTGACTTCATGTGTACAGATGCCTACTGTGTTTCATAAGGGGAACACATCTGAGCGCTGGTTGGCAATATGTACTCAAGTGTACTCAGATAAAAGCCTAGCTGCCAACTATTACAATTTTTTTGTAATTATTACAAATTTTTTGTTAAATTACAAATATAAGAATTGCCACTAACAAATTACGAATTTCCCAATTTCTACCTAACGAACAAAGATACTTAAGTATCGTTTTTGCCTGTAAACTAATAAGTAATGCGGCCAATGTGTTGTGCGCAGTGGAGTACTTGAGGACCAGTACATGTGCGCCTCGTATTTATCACGTGTGGATGTGTGTAAGTCGACTACTTTTCAGTGATGATCGTGAGCACATTGGTCACTTATTGCCGGGATGAGATCCATCAGTGCGAGATTTTGATCATGGAATTTAATAAGAGTATGGTTGGAAGAATGTTAATAGAATTTGAGTTTATCACAACGTCCAGAAAAGATAAATCAGCATACGTTTGCAAGGTGTGTTGGCAGTAGCTTGAGTTACTCCAGCTAACATGCTCATCAGGAATTCACATGTAACATAACATTACATTAACGTTACATGTGAATTCCTGATGAGCATGTTAGCTGGAGTTACTCAAGCTATGTTGGTGGGATATTTTTGTCGCATACAGTGGCCCTAATTTAAATGTGTGTAGAAACATATGAACTCGAAATTCAACATCGATAGCATGCATCTCAGAAAAATAGCACACATGCTATTATTGTTATTATTGATTTGACGTCAACAAACAAATACAGACAGTAAAACAAAATCAATTAAAAAAAAGATTAAATTTATTTTTAAAATGAAACTTACTTTGATTACTAATTTGGATTTTAAAATGTTGGCAGCTATGTAAAAGTGCTGTTTTGCATATTTACTGCTGAAGGGCATAATAAGGCAATGAATCCAAAGAGTGCATTAGATAATGCACACATTTTTAAAAACACTGTGTGAATTGGAGTTTATGTTTGTGCACCATTCTATGGAAGTTTTAAGAACTTGCCAACAGTTATAGTTTTCATATCTTCACTTGTATTCCTCTCCACACCATGCATTATAGAGTGAAGGATCTCAGCACTCTAAGTCAATCTGGGGGATACTTTGAAAAGGAAACTAAGAATTGAAAAATAAATGAAAGATGCCAGTGTGAAAGGACACATTCATTGCATCCCCTGGATGGTGCATATATATGGCAAGGACTACACACCATCAATTTTATCTGAAAGATCAAAAACCCAGTGCAGCAGTTTCCATTTAAACAAAATGTTGATGGCTGCACTAGCTCTCAAACGTTCCTTAGCTACAGTCTTGTTTACATGGCGCTAAGGACTGATTTATTACAAATTCATATGAAGATACATGTAGCTAATCTAAGAGGTCATTTTACTTTTAGGGCACAGATGCTGGCCAGGAGATCACCGCTGTGTTGCTTTCCATCAACTCAGAACCTGTCACTGGCTCTAAGCCCACCACCTTTGAAGAAGGGATCTACAGACTTGTCTACGAGGCTACTGACAGCGCTGACAACACTGGGTCATGCTCTATGCAAATGGAGGCCAAAGGTCAGAGCTTACTTTTCTTACAATCTCTTTGTTTAAAATGAATCGGACAAGAAAGTTTGGTCACGAATTTTCTTTTAATGAGTGATGTCAGATTGATATGCTCAGTTTTAACTCTTTCAGCATGGAATTGATAAATATATGGCACTATTTTAAACAGATTAATTGGATTGCCAGTGTACAGAGTAAAGTGACCTTGGTTCTTGAAGGGAGTATATTTCTTCCGCACCTTATTTGCCAGCTAGGTTTAAAAAAAAGGTAAAGGGGACGAACCTGTGTTCACAGGAACGGAGTGCCCATCTCTCGAAGCGATTGGGCCAGACTTGAATCCATGAAATGCTGCTGTGGGGGATCGCCGCACCTCCTCCACAGCGAGTCTGTTACCTTCGCAGCATTGAATAATGCCAGTACCCATTTAACACCTGTGTTGAGAGGAGTAATTGAGGTAAAGCGCCTTACTCAAGGGCACAACACGCATGGCCAGGGCGGGGCTCATGATGCCTGTGCTCAACCGCTAAGACCACAAAGCCAATTTGCAATGGATGGAAGAAATCAGAAATCAATTTGTCTTTTCTTGTTTTAAGTTCTGTTGCTCTTCATGAAGGTTACGCTCCAAGTGCGCACTGATAAAAAAGGGTATTGAAACTTGCTTGAAGTGGGAAAATTGATGCCCTTGTGGAACAAAAGAGCTAAGGAATTGACTCTGATTGTCACCAAAACCAACAAAAAGAGTCAAATGTCAACAGAGATACTTCTGACAGTCAGTACTTGTATAATTAAGGAATTTTGTGACGGGGGTTGTAAATTTAATAGGTTTTGCCCTTCACACGTCAACGTAATTTAACAAACACTGTTTATTCAGTGTCATTCAAGGCCTTGCAAGAATAAAATTCACAGGTTTACTCAGATGGGAATTGAACCCATGACCCGGCAGATGTAAGTTTGTGCTGCTATATCAGATTCAATCCAGCTAACAAATCCCACAAAGCTTGGTGGTTGAGTGGTAAGACATCTGCACTTGTGGGTTCAAGTCCCATCCCTGTAAGCTTGTGATTTTTCCTTACAGGCCTTCGGACAATAAATCCAGAATGTTTATGAAATAATATCAGTGAAGGGTAAAACCCAATATTAAAAGAACATAATAGTCACCTACAAAATACTTGCATACATGTATATTAACATACCAAACAGAAGAATGTATCAAAATACAGAGCAAAGAGTACTCTCTACTGCATAAACATTATGTGATAAAAAGGTCCAATGATTTTTTTTATCGGATCTGATCACATTTTTAATCCAGTGGAAAGTCCGATGGCCAAGAATTTGTTTTTAGTTCAGATAAAATAGTCTATCTTGCCAAACTGATGCTTCTTTTTATTGTTCCACAGTGAGACGATGTCTGGGTCTTCAAACCCCCACCAATGGTGAGCTGCACCTGGCTACCGGGCACGGCTCATGCAGCGAGGGCGTTGTGTATGGCTCCCAGTGTGACATCCGCTGCGAGACTGGCTACTCTCTGTCAACAGGGGGCTCCAGTCTCAGGAGAAAGTGCCTGCGCCAAACAGTCGATAGTACCCAAGGCTACTGGAATTCCTCCCAGCCAACGTGTGAAGGTTGGTTACAAAGTTTGTCATCATTTGAATTTTTCTATCCAATCTGAGTTTTGTGATGCTCGCTAAGCCAAATCTATAGTGTGTAGAACGTTTTCTTCTAGTTTGAGCCATTTTTTCCCCGTTTATATTCAAATGCAGCCAACACTTGTCCTTACCATGCCATTGCCAATGGCTACATCAGTGGTTGTGCTGGGGACTCTGCCACCTATGGAGACTCGTGTCAGTTTCACTGTGACCTGGGTTATAGGACAAGCAATGGACAGAGTTACCGTGTACGCCAGTGCCAAGCTGACAGCTCCTGGAGTGGTCCTCACTTTCAGTGTACAGGTAAGAATGATGAGACTTAGGCCCAGGGCCCAATTTGCTCTAGTAAAAAATCAAACAATTAAAACTAGTTGCACACCACATGCATTAGATGATGTTTTGGTTTGTAACCTTTTATTTTTTGCTAAGCATGTATCAGGCCTCACAGCGAAATCTTTAAAAGAAGTGTTTCAGAATTTGGCAGTTTGCAAGAAATGTGTAAATTTATCTAGTGTGGAGAACTTGAGGTAAGCAGTGCGCTATATTTCTGCTAGCTCATGCAGGAAAATAGCACGGTTTTGCATTCTAAAAGTAGTCTGAAAATTTGGGACTCTCAAGATCAATACTGTGTATGAGAGTCCCAAAAGTTAAGATAGTGAAAAATAAGAAAAAAAATTCAAGAAAATATTCTAGCACATGAAACAACCAGTCCTATACCCTTAAGTACTGCATCGATCACTCTCTGGTGCAAATTGTTGAAGAAAGGTGTCTTTTAAAAATTGTGTTGAGACCTCAAAAGTGGGTGTTGAAACACTGAGGACCTTATCTTTGCCTCTTGAAAAGTTGAAAGTTGAAGAATTTTGTCCGCTGATGAAGGGCGAGTAAAGTTGGTCAGATCTTGTTTTGCATGTTTTTCTGCACTAAAGGTCCCAGTTTGTCTACAAAACCTATAAATGCCTATATTTTGGCGCTTGAAAAACCTTTAAAAATCTACATTTTGTTCTGTTTTGTAGTAATCCCCCAAATGTCACCTTCATGATATTTGTCATGGCTGATAACATTTCACACATTTTTTTCCTGTGCCCTCCAGTGTTAGTGACATGTGCTGGTCCCTTCTCCATCCCTCATGGTATGGTAGAGCCTGCTGTCTGTAGCCAATCACAGACATTGCCTTACAACACCATATGCCACTTCACCTGTGGTGATGGATTCCGTCAGGAGGGGCCCAATACTAAAACATGCACGGACCATGGTTCCTGGGACAGTCTTCAAAATGTTGTCTGCATTGGTAAGTGTTTAAGACAAATGATTCACAATACATCAATGCACCACCAAGCATTTGTCTACCTCACAGTCAACATTCTGCATTTACTATGCTGCAGTTATTTATTTACCCATTATTTTTTACAGTAACACATAAACACGTTTTGCGTTCTCTCTGCAATGAAAAGTATTTGTCAAGGCTATAGTCATTGCTTATTCCTACAAAAAATATAAGAACCCGTTGCACTTCTGCCTGCTATTTCTTGCTAGAAATCTGAGAATTCTAACCAAAACATATCTTCCATGTGAATAACTAATAGTTGTGATCAAAATGAATAAGTAATTTCTGCAAATAAATTCAGATGAGCAGAGGCCCAGATTCACCGTGGACTGCCCACGACACGTTACTGTCAACAGTGAATTGGGGACTACCTCAGGGACAGTGACCTTTGACGTACCGACTGCAACAGACAACTCAGGTTTTGTTACAGTCACAAGGTGAGCTAGGCTTATAACCAGGCCTCTGCAGATTTATTGTGGAGTCATTTCCTTCAGGATTTGATGTATTAGAAGTTTTAAACTGTAATTTAAAAAAACAAAATAAAAAGTCGATGAAAACGGCATGTAAAAATTATCCCAAGCATAGTTTTAACCTCTTTCACCAGTCGTTAATGGAGTGTTTCGACAGTAACACTGATCGGAGCCTTTTCCGGCTGGATAAATGTAAAACATGTAAAAATCACTGTGTCGCACAGTAATACAGTGTGTGTGTGAAGCGTGCGTGTAGTACATAGTAGTGCACATGATGATATGAAACGGAACATACGTACCGTGCCGCCCACTAGCACACGGCGGGTCAGGTACGGGTAGCCTCATCTGTTTACAGTGGATAAAGTCCAACATGTGCAATTTTCAGAGGGTTCAGATTTAGTTGCATAAAATGCAATGCTTTAAAAATCCTGATGATTATCTTTAGGATAGTGAAGAGAGCTTTTAGGGATACATTTTACTGGCATTTGTTGGAAGAAAAAGATGATAAAGCCCGATTCATTTCCCATGTACGTTACGAATACAAGTGAGGTAGTGGAGTTGTGTGGTTGAATCATGGACATGATTGAAGTGTGTCATGAAAGGTACCCTTAATTGTCTTTCAGACTTTTTCCTCGACTTTCTCAATTAAGAAGTGAACTTCTTTGTTGTTGAGTCCGTTACGCTAACTGTAGTTCAGGCTTTTTGATTTTATGACAACACTGACCATTTTTTTCATCGTAAATTTCCTTTGGATCAAAATGAAAACAGGAGTCGGTGTCCAGAAACTGGACACGAAGTGTATTGTAGGCCTACATACCATTTTATATGTGTAACTGCAGCGCAGCCCAGATTTCAGACACATATTTTTGTTGGACCTATTTCCCAATTGTTCTCCCCATGCCAGTTTCATCTCTATCTAACATTCTTAAGAGAGTGCTCCAGATATTATGTGCTTAAAAGCTACCCTGACTTGCCTGTTGCAGACAAACTGGACACTTAGCACCAGGCAGCAGCTTCCCAGAAGGTAGAACTACAGTCACTTACTTTGCTGCGGACCCAGTGGGTCTCTCTGAGCAGTGCGATGTCATTGTTACTGTTGTAGGTGAGAAACTGTACATTGTATAAACTGTATCTGTGATCTTGTTAACCTGTATGTCTGAGGACTTAAGATGATGGGTTTCCTATAATAAGAATAACCTGAGGATCTGAGGCAAGTCCTGAGGAGCATTACGTGAATCTCCCATTTGAGCTAGACCCGAGTTTGCCTATGACAAACTCGGGTCGTACCTACCGATTTCAGATTCAGCAGCTTTCAACGCGATCTCTCTTATCTGATCAAGAGTTAACGAGCCGTGAACAGGTGATGTATGGTGCCTCTGCCTGTGAGCTTACTGACAAAAAATATCTACCAAAGTCTACTAGGTTCTTGTTTATAATCTAAAGTATTTGGAAAAGTGTCAAAAGTTATTGTGTGAGCAACTTTGAATCATAAAAATCGATCAAATATATCTCGAGATATCAAATAAGAAACAGTCCGACTTCAGCCATGCTCTTCAAGGTTTCCGTTATTTGACACCACCAGCTCATGGTCACTGGCCCTGGGGAAGGGGGTGCCAGGGTAAGTGTTTATCTTATAATTACTTTACTGATAACAGCTGATAAGAGTCACAGTGAAATCGGTAGGTACAGTTCAGGGGTTTTGGCAAATGGGAGTTTCACGTAATGGGCTTTTGTGTACAAAATGTATGGGACAATACTGGACAATATGTGATCCCAGCTCCTGTTCCTGCTGTTCAAATAGCCGCAGGCAAAAGATGGAGCTTTGATGTTTGGCAGACTGCGGTTATTAGCAGTGGAGGGAGGGGATTTGTACATTTTTGAGGATTTGGTTGCCATCCACGTTGATTATGCTCCACTTGATTGAGCTCTTGTTGGGTGATTTTGAAGCATATTTAGTACTGATCCCTTCACGTGCGTATGACTCAATCCTGTTGTGTATATCAGGGATGTAGTCCATCATTGTGTTGCAAATCATGGCTCACATTAACATTTACAGAGCCCTTTCTCACCCTGTCCCTCACCCTGTTTGGCTGGAGTTTTATGTCTCTTGTTATAACCTTCTTTGTTCCCACTTTCTCTCCCGCCTCCAAGTGTATCGTTGCGAGAGACTCCAAGCACCACCTTCAGGCTCTATTCACTGTGATCATGCTGGTTCCATCGCTGGTACCCGATGCAGCTTGGAGTGTAATACTGGTTATATCTTGAGTGGATCACGTAGCAGAACCTGCCTGTTAACCAGTGACGATACAACCTACTGGGATGGAGAACCTACTGTATGCACAAGTAAATAATTTCCAGTATCATTGTGGATTGTGCAAACCAAGTTGACTGTCGAGTAGGTCATTGGTTTGTCTTTGTAAGAAAAGGTTTTACAAAATTGATTCTAATGCCTTCTTAAAGTAAATTAATTATTGAATATTTGTGTTCTTAATCCCAAGTGTGACATATTTATTTTGCCAAACACAGCTTGATAATGCTACCTTTGACCTTTGTTTTCAGTTGTAAGATGCCCGTCTCAGCCGGCCCCACCCAACTCTGTCAAGTCTGGCTGTAGCCTCCCATCAGAGCCATACGGCACTGAGTGTTCTTTCTACTGTGTGAATGGTTATGAGGCTCAGACTAGTGATGATGGAAGGTCTCGCTGTCAGGCTAATGGCACCTGGTCTGGAACTGACCTTGTCTGCGAGGGTAAATAAGTCCAAACAAATTATCCTGAGCATGATTAAATTGTACTAATCAAAACATTGATTATCACTCTTTGGTTCTTTCCATACTATCTTGTTACACATCAGGGGATACCAGTTCATGGTGTTTTAGCAAATCTCTAAGAATGCACTTGTCACCAAATTTTGCAGGTCAGGATCCACCAACACAATAAAACCAGAGTCATGTATTTTGCAAATATCTACCAACAATTAGGTACTCAAGGCGCTGGAAATTAAGTCTGTTCTACAATGGATTTTTTAGGCTGTATGTTATATATTAAATTAATCAGTTTTAAGACATGATTCAAAAATGTGATTTTTTTTGTCAGAGAAGTTAAAGTTGACAAGTTTGTGCCTTTTTTTACAGTTTGGCAAAATTTGGGATATTGCTGGTAAACACTGCAACAAGTTTGCTCGATTACAAGAATATTTGTGGGCAATGTTGGTCACCAACAAAAGGACAAATTTAGCTATCATATAAGTGTTATAATTTACCATTTTTGCCATTCATCTCTCCCATACCCCCCCTTGCAGAAATTGAATGTCCAGTCCTGACATCTGGTTCTGGCATCAACGTTTCCCCACCATCCTGCTCAAGCCGGCCTGTGTTTGGCAATAGCTGCATGTTTTCCTGCTCACAAGACGGCTTCAGAATTGAACCAGTGGAAAATGCCTACGTCCACTGTGTGGGCAATGGGAGATGGTCTGGGGACATATCCCAAATTGTCTGTGTAGGTAAGTTAGGACATATGAAGGCAATTCTGTACTGACTCTTGACATAGTTGACTTTTTTTTGTTAGGTTTAGTCAGTATCACCATCTCTCTGTTTGACCATCATACTGTGTCTGATTCCTCAAACATTGTAGTTTATCAATAGACAAATCCGGTGGCAGCCATTTTCTGTGGTAGCACGAGGCTCGCGAGAGTCACGCTCAGGTAATACACACGCACTCCGGGCTCCTTCGACCAATAGGAATGTCAAAAATGTGCGCACGCCTCGTCTTTAGGAACATGTGCAGCTTCCGCGTTTAATAGCGTGACACCACCGCAGTAAAAGCTTTAAATTGTGGTCATTGGATCCCAGTATACCTTATTTCATATAAAACAAATACCATTTGTTAAATAGAATTTGAGATGGTGGTTGCTCATGAGCCTCAAGTCTAATGTAGGCTTGGTAGGAGAAGGAAAATGGAGTTCATCATAATTCATAGTACCAGCATTTTTGCTTGGTCAGGCACTATATTTGTTAATTTCAACCGGTTGCAGTGAACTGGGCCGAATTGAGGTCATTATAGGCCCAAAGCACTGACCAGTTCTTACCTGGGCTAGCTGTCATAGGAGGTTTGCTTTGGATTTTGATGACACATTGTGCCTTTGTTTTTCGTCGGCCATCAGATTTGTCGTAGGCTCTCGATACACTGCCTACTGGATAATCTGGCCCTGCCTGTGAAGGTGCAAGGATCATCATCACTCTAAAAATCATGGCTTCTGGTTTGCAGATGTGTTGTAGAACCCGTACTGACCTGCAGCAGTGCACATTTATACCTTGGGCCTGTGAGTAACTAAAAGAGGGTATGTTTTCCTCAAACCCTTGTGTCAGGAAAAAGTATTCTCCTTTTTGTCACTCACAGTCCCTCTGGTGCACATATGTACGCTTGTTACTATATCGCCAGTCAGTAAAATATTTACATCACTAGATGTGGACAGTCCTGACCTTAACTGCCCATCTGCCTCGACTGTCTATGCTGAGAGAGGGTCCACTGCAGCCCAAGTCAACTTCCAGGTCACCGCTTCAGATAATAGTGGCCAGCAGCCTACAGTGACCTGTGACCCCGAGTCAGGACAATTTGACCTGGGTCAATATTTGGTCTCGTGCATCGCCTCAGATCCAGCTGGTAACGCAGCGACTTGTTCCTTCCAAATTGAAATTGTGGGTGAGTTATTCTATAGTTGTTTCCTTTTTTTTGTAACATTTTTGTGGATTCATGGGTAGTAGAACCAAAATACTAGGCCCAGGTTTATCAACTTAACTGTAGTACAGTACATGCACTCACTATATTCATTGTTCTTGTTCTTTACTAGAAGAATTGCACTAATTCACACTCTGCACCTGAACAAAGGTGAAGAGAGCATATTGTTGGAAATGTTAATATATGTTTTATTATTGAACAGAGCGCACTTGCACAGCCCTGCCCATCCCAGCATATGGGGATTACATAGGGGACTGTTGCCACGTCTATGGCTGTGTGTGTTACCTGAAGTGCATCAATGGCTACCAATTGATCGGGTCCAGGCAAGCCTCCTGTGAGTTCAATGGCATCTCTACATACTGGCACCAAGATGACACACCGCACTGTCAGTGTAAGTTAGAAAATTCTTATTTACTCACAAGAATCTGACATTGGTAAATGCATTCAATAAAAGCGTTGCTTGAGTTTACACACTTTGAAGTTTAGCGTATGACAGCATACAATCATTTCAAACTCAGGTACTCACTCGACAAGAAAACAAAAGAGATGATCAGTGCTCAAGTGCCATATAACAGCTCTGTGCCCGCACTTTCTAACATCGTTTTTTTCTTGTTCCTATACCAGTAGCTAAAAGGCTGTTGTTTTATGTAGCTCTTAGCCTATGTGTAAATCGTTGTTTGACAATGTCTGATATATGAAAACAAAAAGCAAAGATGAAAACAAAATAGAAAAAGCATAACTAACCTCTGAATAGATAAGAGATTTGATGAGTTACCACCAGATCATATTTCATGCAGATTTGAGAGTGAAGCAAATTTGTTAGGGTGATGGTGTGTCATTATTCATAGTAACAGATCAGGATAGGTGTCAGTGTAACAGGGACAGGAAAAAATGGAACCCATATGTGAAATATTTAATGTTGACCACTCCAATTCATACTGAACTTTGACCTGTGAACTGACTCGCCATTAACAAATAACCGCTATTGACTGTTACAATTCAATTTTCAGTGATCACATGTGAGGCCCTGTCACTCCCCGATGCCGTACAGGTCACTCCATCCATATGTACTGCTGGTAGACCGTTAGCTGGTACCCTGTGCTTTTTCTTTTGCCCACATGGACTCAGTCTGGTTGGGAGCATGTCTCAGGTGTCCTGTGGAGGGGAAGGACTCTGGGACGTGGAGGCTGGAAACTTGCCCACAGATTGCGAAGGTTTGGGAGACCATCTATCATATTCTAGATAAAGATGTGACATTTACACGTTAAAATGTTTAAATGAAAAACATTTCAAATCCATTTACACATTTTCCAAAACATTAAAACGAAACCCAAATTGTGAAAAAGGGACCTAAATTCACCGTTGAATGCAGTCTTCCTTTGAGATAAACATACATAGCACAAATGATTTACAGTGTTTTCAAACCTATTTAATTTACTAAACTGAGCGCTTCAATGCTTGATTACATTTGGGGCACACGTACCTAGTTAAGTTGTTACTTTTTCAATGACTGCCATTGTTGATTTACAGGTATCATGTCAATCACACCGGTCAGCTGACATAATGAGCATGCATCAGCCTTTGTGAATGGCTAAACGTTTAAACGGTTCTTAAAATATTTGCCAAACGTTTATAAGTCACATCCCTAATTCTAGAGAAAGAATTCAGGATTGTGAACCCAATGCATGTGGAGTTAACAGTCATTTAATTGTGTATTGTACTCGATCCAAATATCCATAAGGGTTTATGTACAATAATTAGGAACTATTGCTGATGTGGTACTGAATTATGCAGGTGGTTCACATACTCTATGCTCTTTCAAACAATGAGGTTGCAAAAGTGTACTTGTGCCTCAAATTTAAGAACATGTGCAACAGACATATACAAGTGTGGTGCCACCTCAGTAATGTCTTCTATGAGTATGGTCTCCAGTGAGCCTATACTAAACTACCATTTATATGTAAGACAATAAGCTGATATTTACTTGTGTCTGGACTTGATAAAGCTGCTCAGAGGAAGTATAGCTTGGCAACTTGTGAGCAGAAAGTAGCCAGCAACATGTCCCAGGCAATATACATGACCAGCCCTCTTGGCTTGTAACCCTATTTTTTTTTGCAGAGACAAATAATTTCTTACAAATTACCTTTTTTTCAAAAACAGATCGCATTCCCCCTGTGCTCACTTTCTGCCCTGGACCCATCTACGCCACCCGAGGAGGTGAGGCTGGAGTCTCGGTGACCTTTGACATCCCAACAGCCCGGGATAATAACCTGTCTGGTACCCTGACTCTGGAGACCTCACCCTCCGGCATCACCTCACCACACTCATTCAGTGAGTCCACTGAGGTGTCTTACACATTCACAGATGAGGGTGGTAACTCCGTCACGTGTACCTGTAGAGTTTACGTCTTAGGTGAGTGCTTGGAACCAGTACAGTATGAAAATGGTGGATTTCAAGATATGTCCTGAGAAGCTCTAATTGGCCTCCCACCCCCCCCCCCCCCCCCCAAAAAAAAGAGCTCACAACAGCAACTTAATTTCGGGGAATGTTGAGGAAACCTTAGTGATCAAAGCTTACATATTTACACACACTGTTTTTTTTTACACAGCACAAACTTTTGCACAATAAAGATACCTTAAGTTTTGGGTAGAATGTGAGATTAGTATTCAGGAGGTCCCAGGTTCACATTTGGCTCCTGTCATTCTTTATTCTCATTTTGACCATGTTAGACTATAAAGGCTTGTTGACGCTTGATGTGAGCAAAAGCCAGTTTGTGACGTTATGGCAAGTATTCCCAGTGTTGATTCTCAAAAGCAACACATTTTAACTTGGGCCAAATTTACTTTGTATTTGTAGTGTGGGATATGGAACCGGCTTTCAGGTTACATATTTCGTATCTCTTCTTATACATAATATAGATGATCTTGAGCCTGAAGTCATCTACTGCCCAGACGACTATGCCATCACAGCCTGGGACAAACTCACCGAGGTGACCTGGGATGAGCCCATTTTCCGTGACCCCTTAGGTCATGACCTTGTGGTTAGCAACCATGTGGCAGAGGGGCATACAGCCATCTTACCGTGGGGGCGACACACAGTGGTGTACACGGCTATCAATACAGACAATGGACAGAAAGCTGCATGTCAGTTTGCTATTGATATAACACGTGAGTAACAATTGTGAATGATGGTTTGAGTTATGTGCTTTGGGCACATTTAAGTGACTGGCATTGATCAGTAAGGCTTGTTGATTTTGCGTAACACTGAGTAAAACCAAGTACCAGATATTAAGCAATTCATTTGGGACTAACTGTTACAGATAAAAGATGCGTTCCCTGTGCTATTTCCAAATTTCACCTCGAAAGTTTTTTCACTTGCTATTTTCCTAGCAATGTAAAAGTTTCTCCCTTTTGTATGAGACATTGAACGAAAAAAATGCACCGACATTTATAGTTATTGAATTATTTCATCACAATATTTGAATTATTGGCTGCCAGACAATGTTTTGGCTCTCGCAGGGCGGGTTCTTTTGTGCACAAAATTAAAGCCCTTTTTCAGAGGGTGGCAGACACCCAAAGTCGGAATAAGGTTGTTTTTCCATTAAAACGAGACATGCAAGTTGATTTTTTTTTAAAGAAAGTTAGGTATGCAACTTAAAGTGATACTGAGTTTAGTCATGGGCATCGCCAGGATTTTTTTCCGGGTGGGGAGGGGGCCAAAGTAAATTTTTTCCCAAATATCCTTAACTTTTTCACTATATTCTCAATTTATCATTTTTTCGAGCGTGAGCAGGGGAGCATTTGCCCTACCCCCCATCAAATTAACAGCAATATGGCTTCGCACCTCTTTTTCCCTGTTTTTTTAAATTTTCCAGGCCCCCCCCCCCTCGCGACACCCATAAATGAAGTTGTAAGTGTAAAAGAGTAAAACTTTGAAAATTAAAAGCAGTGTATTTCAATACTGAGTGTAACACTTTAATGATTAAAAAGATTTTTTTTTTCCTATTTTTTTCTTTTTTTCTTTAAATTGTTCTATCCCAAATCCCATAGACTGTGTACACGTTTTGTTCCTCGCGGCATTTTGGACCTCAAACAATCTCGTATTTTAATGAAACTTGTCCCATGTAAAGACCCCATACATGTAGTGCCATTGTGTACCGAAGTGATGTCACGATGACGTTATCATGGGTCACGTGACATTATCTTCAATATGCAAATTTTAACACCCTATATCTAGAGAACTGTAAGTCCGAATGAGTTGAAACTCGGTACATAGGTAGACCGGAATGTGTTATAGACGAAAATTAAAATGACGTCATCATGACGTCATCGTGTGATTTTATATCAATTTTTGAAGTTTTGGACCTTTAGGCCATATCTAATGAATGCAATATGCTAAATTCAAATTCTTTTTGTATTATGTTTGTTAGGTAACAGGCATACTCATAAAATTGTGAAAATAATGTGACGTCATTATGACGTCATCAAAATACTATTTTTTAAAACTCATATAAGGGAATGTTCAATCGTCATGAAACTTAGTGGGTGGGTTGATAATAGTACTAGTACAAAAAATGTGAAATGACGTCACGATGACGTCATCGGTAGATTTTCTAAGATTTTTAAAATATTTACAATTTTATTCTGCTTACAAAACACTTTTATTCATCCTATTGGCTTCAAACATACTAAATTCAAAATTCTTTTGTATTAGGTTTTTATGTAATAGGTATCTGCACAATGTTTTTTTAAAAATATGTGACACGATGACATCATAAAAAATGCGATTTTTCAAAACACATATAAGGGTAAGTCCGTTTGACTTGAAACTTGGTGGGTAGTTGGATATTGTTAATAGTATGCAGAATCTGAAAGTAATTTATGATGATGTCATCATAAAATGTTTTTTATTAATTTATAATTTTTTTACATTTTCTTCTATAATGCTTTAATGCATTTTCAAATATATTTCTTGAATATAAATATTTAAAAAAAGGAAATGCGGAAAAGCACATGTCCTGTTCATCGAACAGGCATAGACCTCTGGTTCTTTTTATTCCATCCCAAATCCTATTGACTTTGTACACGTTTTTTAACTGGGGCACTTTGTAACTCGTATTCAAATGAAACTTTACCTATGTGAAGACCCCATAGTGAGTTTATCATGGGTCACGTGACGTCATCTTAATTGTGCAAACTTAAAACACATAAGAAAATGTCCGATCATCATGAAACTTGGTGGGTAAGTAGATACTAGCACAAGTACTCAAAATCAGAAATGACGTCACAAAGACTTTTGTTCATCTGTTTGGCTTCAAACTTGGTATAGACTAAAACCACAATAAAATAAGGAGCACTGCCAAGTCAGACATCATGATCACTTCATCATGGGTCACGTGACATCATCTTAAACTTACAGACTTGAAGACCCTATATCTGAAGAACTCTTAGTCCGATTGGGTTGAAACTCGGTATGTAGGTAGATTGGGATGTGTTAAAGGTAAAAATTGTGGTGACGTCATCATGACGTCATCGTGTGATTTTATAGCGTTTTTTAAGTTTTGAAGATTATCACCATATCTCATGGACCCAACATGCTAAATTCAAAATTTGTTTGGTATTAGGTTTATTTAGTGAAAGGTATCTGCACTTTCTTTTTGAAAAATGTGTGACGTCACGATGACGTCATCGAAAACGTGATTTTTAAAAACACTTATAAGGGTAAGTCCGATTGTCTTGAAACTTGGTGGATAGGTAGATACTGTTAAAAGTATGCAAAATCTAAAGTGACATTATGATGATGTCATCACCTTTTTTTATTAATTTATCAACTTTTTAACATTTTTTTCTATACAATAATTTGACAAAGTATTTTTTTGAAAGTATTTTTTTACACGTATTATTTTAAAAATTCGGAAAAGCCTGTGTCCTGTTCATCGAACAGGCATAGCTCTAGTTGTTGTTTAATTTGTTCATAAATGGACAATTTGGAATTCTTGATAAACTAGCAGAACCATACAAGTGGGCCAGTAATACCCCACAATTTTCTCATCAGTTGAGAGTTGTCATGCGCTTATTTTCTGTAATGTTGTCCCGTTCCCAATGTTCACAGCCAACAGCTGTCTGCCTTTGCCCAGACCCATGAATGGTGCCCTGTCCTGTGTGCCATCTGGTCTCATCTGCAGTGCCTTCTGCAATCAGGACTACCAGTTTTCCCGATCGCGTGGCCGGAGTGTCCCTGACCAGTATGCCTGCGGAGTGATGTCAGGACAATGGATACCCCATGATGGCCGGGTTCCAGATTGTTCTAGTGAGTAATCATTTCAAACAAATATTTTATTACAATTAATATTTCTGCTCATTTTTTATGGATTTCTACATATTGTCTGGAGATTTTTTTGCAAATGTGGCTGTTCTTTTTATTGTAGATTTTGTATTAAAATCTCAAACCTGCTCTTCTAACCATTCACAAGATCCTAGTCAGGCAAAATAAGGCTGTGGTTGACATGTAATTGATTTGTTACCGTATGATTATAACTTTGCTCATTGTCAAAATCACCAGGACGAAGGGGTGATGCTAACCTTCCCATGAGCCTCATGTACTTTTCTGGAGATTGCAGCGACCAGTCCACACAAGAGAGCATTGCATCGGCATTTATCACTATGATTGAAAATTCCCTTTTCATGGACGCCTGCACACTCAATAACAAATGCAACATTTCGAACGTGCAAGTGCATTGCGGGGCAGGAGGTCAACGTCTTGGGCAAGGCCCTGGGATGCACCGTCGTCGCCGGCGGGGCACTATCACAGATGACCAGCGCAGGAGCGAAGATGCAGTGTGGGGCAAGCTGTTTGCAAGATTAGATGCCACGCATATCCAGAGGCAAAAGCGAGACACTGATATCAACTTTGGTGTTTTGATCAGCTTTGACCTGAGCAATGAGATTGACTATGAGACAGGGATGGAGAGCCAGGATGCTGTCATCGCTGCAGAATCTGAGCTGAAGGACCGAGCTGATGGTCTGATGGCAGCGATAGGAAATGGGAGCTTGCTGGCTCTGAATATGACGGGCATGAACTTAGAAGTAGACACAGACACGATGTCATACGGTGACTCAGTGGTGATCTGTAAGCCAGGCTATATTCTCAGTAATGATTCGCTCTACTGCAGTAAGTATCATTGAGTTGTCATTAAGTCATTTTTGTAGTTGTCTGTGTTATTCTATATATTCAACTCGAATTCTTGAATTTGTGTTTTTTGGGAAATAAATTTTCATTTGTGGATATTTCAAAACCAGATCAATGGTGACAAGATTTCATAAATACATTAAACTTCTAATTGAAATTTGAGTTTTTTCTAAAATGGTTTTCAGTTTTATGAAATGACATATTGATTTTTCCTTGAAGTTGTGAGATGTATTGTGACATTCAGACACATAAGTAAATGAAATGCTAGGAGTCACTTAGTGTTACTGAGTTGTTGTTCACAATGTTTGTAATAAATACTTTTCTTCGGATATTCAAAAATATAAAATTGACACCACAATTGTCATGCCATGTTTGGTTAATATTTCGAGTAAATTTAAAGAAAAGTCATCGTAATATTCTTTAATTGAACACCAAGTGTCACACTTACTTTTGCACAATATTGTTAATATTATGAAATGGTCGCCCATCCTTATATTTGACTTGTATTTTTTTCCTAAGCTGCTTGTAGTTCTGGGACGTGGTACAACAAGCTCACAGGGGAGTGTGATTATTGTGCCAGAGGGAGTTATCAGAACCAGCAGGCTGCACAGTCATGCATAGAATGCCCCCCTGGAACAACAACAGCTACTGAAGGGGCCAAAAACAGCTCCTCATGTGTAGGCAAGTGCAGTATCGGTGGAAATTAATTTTACAACGAGTTTTATAAAAATGAGAGTACTTTGCAAATGAAGAGGACTGCAAATAATTTTGAAAATTGAAAGTAGCTTAATAAGTTTAATGCAGTTGTTCAAATTTACTGAAATCAAAGCATGGTTCTAGGCAAAAAAAATCTGAGTAATGTCAAGGGCGGATCCAGAACACAATTTTGGGGGGGGCCAAAAAAAATTTTGGTCCCCCAAAAAAGTGGGTCAAAAAAATTACGGCGTGGGGTTCGGGGCCCTAGCGGGCCCCGAACCCCACGCCGTAATTTTTGGATTCTAGATGCTCTGTGGTGCGATCTGAGGCAATTTCTGACCACTTCAGCCAATGTTTTTTGAGGAAAAGATGGTGGTGTACTCATTGCCTGCCTTTATTGCGATGTCACATTAAAAAAAAAAAAAAATTGGTTTCGTTTTGGGGGGGGGGCCATGGCCCCCTTTTTGGGGGGGGCCATGGCCCCCTTTGGCCCCCCCCTGGATCCGCCCTTGAGTAATGTGGGGAATCAAACAAGAAGCAATTCACAAAGTGGGAATGAAACAGTTTTCCGGTCCTGATTTTGTACATGATGTTTTTTCCCAACTTACGGTGCTTTAGGGCCCCCCCCCCTCCAAAAAAACCGTCTTCAGTTTCTGGTATGCGCACGGGTCACTGGCAACGTAGCCATGTGGATCAGCAAAATTAAAAAGTTTTTTTTTCAATGTAAGATGATGTCTCAAAACCGCCAAACTCACTGGTTTGAGTGGAATCCTGCTGCTTCACAATTTTAACGTGTTTTAAGATAGGGTTACGATCGAGTATAAGCTTTATGTGGCCTTTCTGGGCTCCCATACATTTTGCACTAAATTTAGTCGGGCACCATTTGCAGTCATCAGCCGACATTTGAAGCAAAAAAGAGGAAAAAACCCCAAAAGCTGCGTCACCCCTCCACTTTTGCTCCGTATGGGCAAGCTCCATACCAGAAACGGAAGACTTTTTTGGGGGGCCTTAGCTCATGGTTTTTGCGAGTGTGACGGAAGTTGGGGGCAGCATTGGGGCAAGTCCGCTGTTTGAGGGTATTCTTGGGGCCATTGGGATCCTTCCAAGATCCGGCCATTCATTTGTGACTTGAATTGATTATAATGGGACATCATGCCTTGATTCTCAATTAGACGAGTGCCCAGCCGGTACCTTTTCTACCAATGGTGTCATTCCTTGCTTCAAATGCCTGATTGGTCATTTCCAATCCCTGCCTGGCCAGACGTCGTGCCAACCATGCCCAACTGGTACTACAACCCTCGACTATGAAGCTCAGACAGTGGACCAGTGCCTTGGTAAGTGGACAGATTTTATCCGGTCATACCTTGCTGTGTAACTATGCATAGCCACCTAAATCCTGCACATCATTTATAGAATGAAACTACAAATCATTTGGGTAGTAGTTGGCAAGTGAGGGGCAGGGTACCAATCCAGCTACTGTTTTCTTTGGTAGGCCAACAGTGAGTACACATATAGTGGCACTGACAGTGACTTACAGGAATAGCCTTTGATTGACTGACAGCCCTAGGGGGGGGGGGTGTTATCAGTTGTGGTATTCTGAGGAAACTGAAGATAAACAGCGGCCTGATAAGCCATAATTGATCAACACACGCTTGACTTACTACTGTACTCTGTCAGTATATGCAGCTTCCCTAGTTTGAGTCATTCTCAATGTTTGACCAGTGTACCTCATCCCCTCTATTTAACATTGCAGTAAAAGAAGGGATGGGAACCAACCTACTGTGGTCCAGAACATGACCTTTCTCTGCATGCATGCATGCATTAGTTCTTATATGTAATTCCTTCTGTCTGCTCAGAAATCTGCCCAGCAGGCAGTTACTCCGACACAGGACTTGCCCCGTGCCATCCATGTGAACGTCGTTACTACCAGCCTAATATCCAGAAGCGTCACTGTGTGCTATGCCCTGGAAGGACTACCACATCGGGCAACGGGTCCACCAGTCTAGAACAGTGTATTGGTAAGCACCCTGACTAAACGTCAAGGCACCACACTGGTCAGTTCAAAAGCATTTTTTAAACTCGGACCAGCATAAGAATAATCTCTCTTTTTATTTTTTTAAATATTTTTCAATGAAATAAAAAGTTGAATACATAATAAGTGAGCTTAGAAACTTTTCAGTTCGAAAAGTGCTTGATGGTCCCAGGGTTCAGTTTATATTCTGACTTCTAACTTCTTTCATCGCTCAAAACACCTATATTTGTGATCAGTTAGTTTTTTATTTAGAGCAACTTTGTCTATAGAACAGACTGGATTTATATGCTGGGATCACGAAGCAGATATCTTCTAACAGAGCTACGCCTGAAACTAAAAAAACCCAAAATATTCTATATTGAATGGTTTAGTATGAGTCAGTGAAAGACAGGACAAAGGGGCAGCTTTTCAAATGGCTCTTTCCTCATCTCTGGTCAGCATTGGAACTGATTTACAATAATTCTTTAACTGTAGTATTAGAAGATAATTAGAACATTATAGAATGTTTAACAGCTGATTTTTAAACGTTCAAGTTTAACAGCTTAAGCATGTCAAATGGAACGAAGCAAAAAGAAACTAGTAAGTTGACGACAAATACAATAGAATAAAATGGGAAATGGCAGCATTTGATGATTTCCCATGTACGCCTGTGTGACAACTGCCATCTTAGAAATATTGTGAAATTCAATATTAAACATATCAAACTCGATATGTTAGACTAAATCTTTGAAACAATAGGATACACCATCCTATAATCTAGATCCTATCTGAGTATGAATGTTACAGCACACAAAGTTAGATGGTTGAAGTGATGAATCTCTAAAAAGTAATATATACAAAGTGATAAACTACTATTAATTCCAATACTAGGAGGTGTGATAAGTGAATCATGACAGAACAAACCAGAGTTATGTCCCCCATAGGTATTGAGATTGGCTGTAGAGGTCATGCATATTAAGAACAGGTGACATAGGAACTAAGAAAGAAGTATAAAGGTACCGGTATATGGGCTCAGTGCGCCTGCAAGCATTTTCACCACTTTTGGGAGCCCCATGGACCGGACACACCGCGTGTGTGTACTGGGTCACGCACATATAGCTCCAAGAATGCATAACTTTATTGTGAATGTGCACAAAGCCACAGTGTATTCGCATGAGCATCAGCCATCGTTGGTAATGCCTTCAAATGCCTCTTCTGATGTCTCCCCCCGCTACTCTCCCTTTCTTGCCTTTGAGGGGGTACTTGTGCACGGAGTCCATAGTATAAATCTATAAAATAGGGAGCGGGTTAAGTTCATTCATAGCTGTGACACATGCCTAGCTTGGGATATCCGGAACCTGAAGATTCGACAACTAATCTAGGATAGGGTTAATCTGTAGACAATGATCAATATTTCATTATAGATATGGATGAGTGTGCCAGCTCACCGTGTGACCACCAGGCTACCTGTGTGGATCTGATTGATGGTTACCGATGTGACTGTCCACCAGGCTATCAAGGAGTCCACTGTAATGATGACATTGATGACTGTACAGACCATCGATGTGTCAATGAGGCAACATGTGTGGACAGGCTGATGGGTTACTTCTGCCAGTGCAGTCCAGGATTCATAGGTCAGACAGTAGTCCAGACATCACTCCCATATATATGGCAGCTTGTTATAACAGGACTCTTTTTAGTTGCGTTTCATTAATTTTTTATATTTCCTTTCAATATGAAAGTTGAACCATACTGAACACTTTGTGAAATCTGTGATGTTCATTGCAATGAAAATGGCAGGCAATGTAAACACTGTTTGATGATCACATGCTGTAGTTTATACTCTTCAGCAAAAGTATTCTTGACATTCAGAATTTGCATTTCGTGCAAAATTGTGTTCAAGTGACATCAACTTCTCATGTCTAGTGAAATCATTGAAAAGATTCTTTTAAAGAAATTTAAAAATGAACGTATCACACATGGACGGTTTGGAAATTTACCTAATTTAGAAACTTAAATTTTCATGCAACCCTGAAAATGTCTCTGCATTGTGTTCTCAGGCGATTTTTGTGAGATGAACATTGATGAGTGTGCATCCACACCTTGCTTAAATGACGGCATGTGCCTGGATGAAGTCAACGGATATCACTGCCAATGTATGCCAAACTACCACGGGCTACATTGTGAACTCGAGATAAACAGGTGAGAATCACTGATGACATCTGTCAATTTACCAAGGGAACCAATCTGAACGGGTTTGCAACCCGTTCAGATTGGTTCCCTTGGTAAAATTTTGTCAGAATCAGCTATGTCTGTAATAAACACAGAGTCAAGTTTGAACTGGTGACAAGCAGGTGAGAATCACTGACAACATCTGTGACCGTAAACTTTGGATATGAATGTGAGAATCAGCAATAACGTCAATCAATTTACTGTGAGGTCAACTTGTAAATGGGATGTAGAGAGGTCGTAATCACTATGATGGTGCAGGTTGTTTTCTGAAACCTTTATACTGAGACATTTCATGGGAGGGATTTCAAAAGGGATCTTGTTGTCTTTTGATTATCGGTTTAATATGTGTGAGGTGTAATAAATCATATACAATGCGGATAAAGGGAAATAGTGCGAAGTTCCTGGTTCCTTAGTGTTGGCTGATTTTTGACTACCTGTCAACGGGAGTTGGACAGAGAGTCAAATCAGCCAACACTTGTTTGTATAATATTAAGGAGTGTTGTTATCGGTATGTTGGATCATACTGACTGGTACAATGAGATTAGCCTCTGGTTCTACTAACATTTTCCTTTTGGAGCTAGTCCCTTCACTTGGTGTACCTTGAAATCTATCCCATATTGCATTTGCCACCAGATAAAGCTTCACATTACATTAATATATGTATTGATCCATTCAATACATTTTGATTTTGTCCACAGCTGTTCTCCTAGTCCTTGCCAACATGGAGTATGTCAACTCCGTGATGGTGGGTACCAGTGCCAGTGTGCTGCAGGATACAGTGGCATTAACTGTACCCTTGACATCAATGAGTGTTTCAGTGGTCCATGTCGCAATGGAGCAACGTGCCAAGATATGGCCAATGGTTACAACTGTGTCTGTGCTGTGGGTTATGAAGGCACTCACTGTGAGAATGGTGTGGACTGGTGTGCTGAGTCGCCGTGTCATGATGGCTCAACCTGTGTGAACCTTGGTTCGACATTTCGCTGCGTCTGCCCTGCACACCGATCAGGCGAGTTGTGTGACCAGACCCCTTGCCAGAATGACGCTGTCTTTCAGGTGAATGCAGACGACACATATAGGTGTTATTGTGAACCCGGCTTCACTGGCCACAACTGCCAGATTGACATCGATGAGTGTGCGTCAGAACCTTGTTCCAACGGAGGTACTTGTGTCGACAGGCTCAATACTTACCTGTGTGATTGCCCTCCTGGATTTGAAGGTCAGTTTCAGTGTTGTAGTACTCGTATGCGGTACTCGTACTCGAGTACTACTCTAGTACTTTTTTTGGAGTACTCGTACTCGTACTCGAATGTCAAAGTACTCGTACTCATCGGCGGCGGAACACTTTTAAAAGTGGGGGGGGGGGGCAAGGTCCAGTTACTGTTCCCGGAGCAGGATTAAAGCAATAAATCAAAGCAAATGGGAAAAGTGTGAAGTTGGTCCAAAACGAAAGTGTGACCTACGTAATGTCTGCTAACCTATGCATGTGGACTATTCCTACCGTAATTTTCGGAATATAAGCCGCGGCTGGATTTTGCCCATGAAAATGTTTACTGCGGCTTATACACAGGGCGGCTTATATGCTGATATCGAGCCTTGAAGAATAAAAATAAGATTCACATATGTACTGGTATAAGAAGAGAGGTGTTGCTGAAATGAATTATCATTTAAAAAGTCATTAACAAACCGAAACCAAGGTACCGAGCGGTAAAAAAGACGGCGAAAGCTGTCTTCAACGCTTGTGACCAGCCGTACGTGATACCATGGGTGGTGTGCAGCTAGCTGCATGCTTTCCCCCAGCGGACCACACCATTTGTGGTAACGAAGGGGTGTACTTTCTTGGGAACAATAATTACCAATATTTCTGCATTCAAAAAAAAAAACGAAAAAAGACGACTAATGCTTTTTATGGTGTTCGAAACATTTCTTTATTAGATAAAAAGTTGTTTAACGTCACAGTATATATTTTTTTCTTGAAACGAATTCAAGAAACGATGTAAAACTCAAAACAGGGACTAAATCACCCCTTACAAAATTGATGGATTCGTCCATAAAAATGTCAGCATCGTTTCCTACGGCGCTAAAGGGTCTTTGGTTTTGACTATTTTTGAAGAAAGTAATGATCGAAACTTGAATTTTTTACGTTACTATTCGCTAGTAATCACAAAAATTTGAAAAGTTTTGAGGTAAAAACGGACCTGTTTATTCTTAAGACAAAACAAGTCAGCATCTGTTGCCACAAAAGCAAGATTTGTAGCGCTCCAGTCAGACAACACACGGTGGGTTGCATACTCTCTCACGTACTGCGGGAAAATGTTGTCATTCACAGGCGCGGCGCAGGCTGCCTGGCCAGCCATGCACTAACTTTTAAGCCCGGGGACCGGGACGGGGCAGCCGGCAGCAGTTCCCGGTGTTTATTTCTCATCATCAATTTCCATATTTGTTTGTAAGAGTATCGATTGAAAATGATTTGATATAAATTTTGTGGCCCTTTTTATAGCTTCTGTAGTGTAACTGGAACTGGTTCAGAGCTTTTTGACTAGAATTTTTTGAGGCCTTACAAAATGGAAACCGCTGCGGTGGGTGTGGCTTATATATGCCGACTTCAGATCTTAATTTGCAGATTTTTGCATGCTGCGCCATACACCGCTTGGCTTATATTCCGAAAATTACGGTATATCCCTATTTTTCGTATCATATTTCTAATTTTGTGTCGCCATACTCACTTGGGTATAAGGTCTATTGTCAAATTTCAACCCCAACCAGGGGTGTCAATAGCTTTTCAAAAGTGGGGGAACATACCTTGATCAGAACTGAAGCGCGAAGCCCTTGAGGCGTGTGGTTCGGGGCCCGCTTAAGGGCCCCGAAGAAAATGCTCTGTGGTGCAATCTGAGGCAATTTCTGACCACTTTAACCAATATTTTCTGAGCAAAAGATACATTGTAGTACATAATACTATTAATAGGGCCCTATAAATGAGACACGTGTTCAAAAATCTTTTTTACCTCTTGTATCATTTTAATTAACCTCGTTTTTTTAAAATCGCTCCTGGTAAAAAGTGGGGGGCAAAATAGCTACCTATTTAAAAGTGGGGGGGGGCAACTGCCCCCTCTGGACCTCCCCCCCCCCCCCCCCCGGGGGGGCAACTGCCCCCTCTGCCCCCCCCCCCCCCCCCCCCCGGTTCCGCCGCCGGTGCTCGTACTTGAAATGACTGTACTCGTAATCGGGCAGCTAAGTACTCGTACTCGACATGTCAAAATTGTACTCGATCATTAAAGTACTCGTACTCGAATAGCAGTACTCGGGGGGAAAAATGTTATAGCTTCGCTTACCATGGCCTTATTTGATCGATTCTTTCGGTTGGAAATTGTTGATTGGCGTGTTGAGAAATCAAGATTTCCTGATTTTCCTCTGTGCAAGTCCGGACAAACACATTTAACAGCTAGCCGTAAGTGGGTCTGTATATCGGTCTGACTGGGTCTGGGCGAATTACGCACAATAACCATTTGCCGTATGGCCGTATTCGGAAATGCAAGTACTCGTACTCGTACTCGGACTCGGAAGTACTCGTACTCATACTATACTCGTACTCGGAGATCCGTTCTTGTACTTGGAGGTACAAATGCTCGTACTCGTATTCGGCAACCTAAGTACTCGGCAGTACTCGGTACTCGGAAAAACGTACTCGACTACAACACTGGTCAGTTTCCGTAATCCCATGCTCTTGGTGTAATGTTTGACCAGTCAGCCTGATATGCATACCCTCAAGATGGGGAGCAATTAGAGGATACAAAACCTAATCAGTAGAGAATCCAAATGAATTTGGAGACTGTTCTTTGCTTATCAGAGGATTATCTTGGCATTGCTTGGAATTTGTGGCTGCTTATGCCTGGAAAAAGTGTCTGTGCAGTAAACATGGGTTGTTCTCTTACAGAGAATATTTTAAGGGTTTGGGAGGGTCTTCTAAGAGCAAGGCTTAAATCTTGTCCCCTGCAGTAAGACGACAGACCATCAACATACAAACTTAAAGAATTGCAAGTATGCTTTAAAATTGAATTTAAAAAAATCACCGAATCAAGATGTCAACACAAACACCAAACCAGTTTATTCTTTCTTTGAATGCCAAATATAAACGCATAAGTCATTTCTAATAAAATACAATGTTTAGCTCCTTCTACAATCATTGCACCTAAAACATTCTAAAGTGTGTTGTTTCAAACTCAGTCGAAGTTACTTCACAAATGCTGTGATGAGTACAAACTCACCATCTGAATCTGAAGGCTACCTGTTTCCTGTTACCTAAATATCAAGTCATGAAAGTGAGAGGGCTTAGTTTTTTCAAACCAATGACCCCAACAGGCTGGCAGTCTTAAGAAAGAGAAAGAGAAAGGTCCTGCTAGACGCTAGGCCCTCTATGATACAATTTGTCTATTTCAAAACATTCCAGACAGTAAGAAGTTTGCAACAGCTTTATTATTATTATTATTATTTTTAAGGAGAGGCATGCACAGTTGACGTGGACGAGTGTTTGTCTAATCCCTGCGGAGCTGCTAACACCTGTGAAGATGACATCAATGGCTACGCCTGCCTGTGTGGACCAGGATTGACTGGTACCCATTGTGAGGATCACCTTGACTACTGTGACCCCTCTGCATGCCAGCATGGGGCCACATGCAGTAATACAGGCACAGGGTACCGGTGCACATGTGCTGCTGGTTTTACAGGTATGGGTGTGTAGACATTCATGGTTGAAGAACTTCGTGTGAACATGTTTGATGTTGCAGGGGCTGGTATCACTGCAAAAACACCATGATATTTTCACCAACCACTGAAGTGATTGCCCGACTAAGTGTCAGACTCAAGTCCAATATTTGTGTACTTACACATATGACGCATGCAGCTGGGACAGGCAGTGTGACATTTGAGAGGCACACATGCTGTTGTGCAAGATGGTCAGGCTTTTGATGTCCAGCCACTGCTAAAAGAACACTTGATTTTTGGTCGACTGAATGTTGCCATTTTCTCAGAGACTTTAAGCGGAAGATGCAGCACAGGCAAGACCATAGCCATTGGTTTGGCAGGGGGATGGGAGTTGAGAGCTAGGGGGATATGTACCTCCACATTAACTGGTGGGGTGCACCATATGATTAATCTCCTACATTTTTGTGCTTATCACAAAAAACCTTGATAATGACTTTCTCCTTTAAATATGATGACTAGAAAGTAACAGTAGTTGCTAAAAACACAAAACTATGCCTACGTAGTTGCACTGAATCCCAAAGCTTCAATTTAGGACATTATTTATACCCAGTGACTCAGGCAGTCAGGCAGTCAGGCAGTCAGTCGGGGAGTCAGTCAGTCATATGGGTCATTAATTCAGTCCTTCAGAAGGCAGTAGGTTGGCCCTTTGGGTCCAGCAACAAAATACTGAAAAACAAAAAAAATGGAAAGAACACACAAACAGTTGTTCAGTAATGTCAAAAGTGCAGATATGTACATTATGAATACATGCACAAAAGTGTCAATTATGAACAGTGCCACCTAGAGTCCAATGGTGTCATAATGACTGTGCAACAATGTAATGTCGAGGCCATGATATATGCTCATGGTTTGTGATATTATAGTTAACAAATTTCTGCTCAAGTAACCCTGAAGGCAGTGGATCATTAGTTGCTAGTAGAAAGGCACCATCCTGTGCTAAGAACGATATGAAAGAATGCATGCATCTGCAAGTGTCTTGTCAATTGAAAGGCAAGACTAGAGGTCTGCCGTGCAGGCAGCGTGGACATTTTTGATGGTTAACTGCAAAGAGCCCCACTCAGTAAAAGGGTCATTAACTGGCTTCACTTTTAATTTTGATATGTTTGTTTTTCCCTGTCAATTCTTCATCAAATGTAGGTCCAGACTGTGAGACCAACATTGATGATTGTATTTCTAGGCCGTGCCAACATGGTGGCTTCTGCGTGGACCTTGATAACAGCTTCATGTGTTTCTGCTTAGCTGGATTCATGGGACCACTGTGTGAATTGAACATTGATGATTGTACACCAAGGTAATGGACTAGTTCCCTCCTCACTTCTGATAAAGACAACAATTACATGTACTCAGACTGTTGAACACCTGTCACTATGAAAATGTACACGGTTAAAAATGCAGTTTGACGGTTAAAAAGCAAACCACCGCGTTTCAACCACAATTTAACCGTGTGCATTGAGTCTTAATCCTTAACCCCATTTTAACCGTGTTTCCACCGATCACTCACACCCATACCGCTTCATTGTTATGCAGTACTAATCCTCTCGCCGCCCGCGCTCTGGCCAAACAAAGGGTCACTCATTTTAACCGTGTGTAAAACCATGCTCTGTAAACCGCAACGTACCGTTAGGTAAGACTTCTTGACGCCTTTATTATATCCAATTAAAGCGTGTCAATTGTTATTGTGTCAATCACCTGGTAAAGTCTGCGTGTTCGCTACGTGCTAAACGGTCTTTTGTTGCAATTGTTGGTCTTGAACAACGACTGTGTTGATGGTCCACATAATTTGAAGGGTATGAGACCGCTACCAAACCGCGCGTCCAGGGGTAAGTAGATGGCCTGATTATCTTAGAAAGGCTTAGTTGTAATTTATGAATGGCATGTTTTTTTTCTAAACAGACACGAATTGTTGCGCCAATGGGCCGCACTGGCATAATGGCGATCTTTAGGCCAACAAAACAAAAAACACCTTTGGTTCGGGTCACCCGACCGACCCCATTTTTGAAAGCGATAAATGCGACCCCACACAATTGTATGGGTTTATTAGAGAACAAAACTATTACTATATCGACTTTCGATCGAAATTGGTCAAAATCGCCGACCGCCAAAATGATTTATAGTCATGATCAGCAAGTGAATTTGTTTTCTGTCTTATTATCCAAAAGAAAACATCGTGTTATAGTTTGCATGTACTTCAAAACTTCGTCAATGCAGTCCAAAAAGTCTGGTCGTGTGTACGTCTCATGTTCCTGTGCGTGCGCCATGCAGGGCGGGGGTTACGAGCGAAGTTCTGAGCTAGCTAGCTGTACAGCAGCGCGGTATTGCGTGACAGGGGAAATTCCCACGAAAATGTCCGTGCCTATACAAGCAATTCTATTGGTTGACCGCGAGTTACACGGCCGTACAGACTTGACGTCATGCATCATGGAAACCGATTTTTGATGAAATTGTTGTTTGAAATTGTGGCAGAAATCATGGAAACAAAGTGTCCTAACGATCATTTTTTAAAACTAAACGCTTTCAGGTTGCTGAAAGCAAGTCTTTGTTGACATCGCATTAGCCAATAGAAAAATTCGTTATGCTATATCATTCTACAATGGCCACGTGGTTAGGACTTCACTGCGGCGTACGTATACGGCTCTCGTGCACGTAAGACGGCAATATTTGCTCTACACATCGGAGAATGCGAACATTTTCCAAAAAAACAAAAACAGGAGATTTCTTTCAGTGGAATCTTAAAATGACATTCAAGGAATTCTTTGTGAAAATCCATAAGGCCCCCCCCCCCCCCAAAAAGTCTCCGGTTTCTGGTATGCGCGTTGCCGTGGCCGGCCATGCGCGTCGGCAAAATCAAAATTTTTTTTTTTAATGAAAAAAAATGTCTCAAAACCGCCAAACTCACTGGTTTGACTGAAATCCTGCTGCTGCACAATTCTAACGTGTTTTTAGGTAGGGTTATGATCGAGAATAAGCTTTATGTGGCCTCTCTGGACTCCATATATTTGCAGTGAGTTTGCAGTCGGGCACCATTTGCAGTCATCAGCCGACATTTGAAGCAAAAAAATCAGGTAAAAACAAAAAAAAAGCCCCGTCGCCGTACCACTTTTTGGGCAAGCTCCATACCAGAACCGGAGACTTTTTTTGGCCTAAGTTGACGACGATTTTTTTAATTGATATCGCCGCAAGAGTCCAACCTGACGAACCATGGAAAAGCGCAAGCGTAGTCTAGAGAACGTCGGCACGACAGTGGTTGAAAATTGTCCCTTGCTCCGTGGTTGATGAACTTCCGAACGTCTTACGATAAAACCTGTCTCCAAACTCATCTCAAAATACATAGATTGTGGACCAATTAAACGTACATGTATTGGCTCCCGAGAAAAAAAATAAAATAAAATGTCATGCCGACCGACGACTCAATAGTCGCAGTGTTTACGATTTTGTGACAGGAGTACGCACATTGTTTGAAGTCTCTCTACTTATCCACTCAGGATCACAGATGGAAAACTTGTGGGCATTATTTTGGTCGTTCTGGAACTACACTGTATATCGTTCCGATCATGCTACTTCGGCTCTCGTGTATCTCCGCTTTTGGACCTATCTTGCTTTTTGGACCTAAAATGAGAACCGATGCGTCAAATGTCACGAAACTTGACGCTAGATGTCGCAACCACCTCCCAAACAACATATATTAAGAAAAAGGTCCTTGTTTAAAAAAATAAAATGTTATGTGCAAAAATGATAAATGAGGGCATTGGACACATCACCAAAGCATAATATTGAAATTTTGCTTTTTGGACCTAAAATGAGAACCGATGCGTCAAATGTCACGAAACTTGACGCTTGATGTCGTAACCACCTCCCAAACAACATATATTAAGAAAAAGATCCTTGTTTGAAAAAATAAAATTTTATGTGCAAAAATGATAAATGAGGGCATTGGACCCATCGCCAAAGCATAATATTGAAATTTTGCTTTTTGGACCTAAAATGAGAACCGATGCGTCAAATGTCACGAAACTTGACGCTAGATGTCGCAACCACCTCCCAAACAACATATATTAAGAAAAATGTCCTTGTTTGAAAAAATAAAATTTTATGTGCAAAAATGATAAATAAGGGCATTGGACCCATCGCCAAAGCATAATATTGAAATTTTGCTTTTTGGACCTAAAATGAGAACCGATGCGTCAAATGTCACGAAACTTGACGCTAGATGTCGCAACCACCTCCCAAACAAGATATATTAAGAAAAAGGTCCTTGTTTGAAAAAATAAAATTTTATGTGCAAAAATGATAAATGAGGGCATTGGACCCATCGCCAAAGCATAATATTGAAATTTTGCTTTTTGGACCTAAAATGAGAACCGATGCGTCAAATGTCACGAAACTTGATGCTAGATGTCGCAACCACCTCCCAAACAACATATATTAAGAAAAATGTCCTTGTTTGAAAAAATAAAATTTTATGTGCAAAAATGATAAATAAGGGCATTGGACCCATCGCCAAAGCATAATATTGAAATTTTGCTTTTTTGACCTAAAATGAGAACCGATGCGTCAAATGTCACGAAACTTGACGCTAGATGTCTTAACCACCTCCCAAACAAGATATATTAAGAAAAAGGTCCTTGTTTGAAAAAAATAAAATTTTATGTGCAAAAATGATAAATGAGGGCATTGGACCCATCGCCAAAGCATAATATTGAAATTTTGCTTTTTGGACCTAAAATGAGAACCGATGCGTCAAATGTCACGAAACTTGACGCTTGATGTCGTAACCACCTGCCAAACAACATATATTAAGAAAAGGGTCCTTGTTTGAAAAAATAAAATTTTATGTGCAAAAATGATAAATGAGGGCATTGGACACATCGCCAAAGCACAATATTGAAATTTTGCTTTTTTGACCTAAAATGAGAACCGATGCGTCAAATGTCACGAAACTTGACGCTAGGTCGCAACCACCTCCCAAACAACATATATTAAGAAAAATGTCCTTGTTTGAAAAAATAAAATTTTATGTGCAAAAATGATAAATAAGGGCATTGGACCCATCGCCAAAGCATAATATTCAAATTTTGCTTTTTGGACCTAAAATGAGAACCGATGCGTCAAATGTCACGAAACTTGACGCTAGATGTCTTAACCACCTCCCAAACAAGATATATTAAGAAAAAGGTCCTTGTTTGCAAAATAAAATTTTGTGTGCAAAAATAATAAATGAGGGCTCGCCAAAGCATAATATTGAAATTTTGCTTTTTTGACCTAAAATGAGAACCGATGCGTCAAATTTCACGAAACTTGACGCTTGATGTCGCAACCACCTCCCAAACAAGATATAAGAAAAAAGGTCCTTGTTTGAAAAAATAAAATTTTATGTGCAAAAATGATAAATGGACCCATCGCCAAAGCATAATATTGAAATTTTGCCTTTTTGACCTAAAATGAGAAATAAACAACACAAAATTTCAATATATTTTTAAGACATCGTGTTATTTTTGAACTACGAAAGCTATACAAAAAATGGCCACAAAAAGTGATTAAAGCTTACCTTAAAGTATTTACGTTCGATAATTCTTAAAAAAATAATGGAAATATCAGGTCGTGCACACCATGATACACCCCGCAAGTCAAGTACGGGAAACTGGCCAACACTGTCATGACAAATATACAACCAGTACGACCTCGAAATAAATTCACGAACACGGAGAATACATACAAAGACAAGACTGATCAAGTTCCGTGAATTAACTTGCAAACAATTCCGTGTTTTCTTGGCATTTCAGTCCGCCGTACCTGTAATACACCGCGCGGCTGGCATAGCGTGCATAGACTGGTTACCGCATTTTCATCATGCCTTCCTTGGCCCGGCGGTGCGGCGGGAACACGGTCATCGCACGTGTTCTTATCGTCACCGCGACATCGAATTGCGAACTCGTACCGTTAGGCCTAATGCAAAGCGAACCGAAAATAACGGAGTTTATAGGCTGAAAACAAGTTAGTAAGTAGGCGAACAAATTAATACCACCATTTTTGACACATGTTTTGTGAAGACAGAAAAGACAACATAATTTTTTTAATTTATTCGTTCATTTATTAGTATTATTTTTTTTAACTTGCCGAAACAATGTTTAGGGTAGCGGCTTAAATAAATAGGGTGGGCCTAATAGTAATAAAACTGTTCCGTCGTACGGACGACTACAGCAGCGCGCTGACGGCTGCCGCCAATCTATACTCTGCGTCCGACCTCGATTGGAGGGGGACGAGCCGTTTATATCGGAAATGAATGCGGGAATCAATGTGCCTGTTGCTAGCTTGCGCCACATTACTTGCAGCCGACTAAGGCAACAAACTTGTCAATCACAAACCGTTATGCACCATTACTTGATGAGCCATTAGCCACCTATTTATTACAGGATTATCACCTTACACAAAGCACTTAGCCTGACCGTGCGGGATTAAAAACCGCAAAGGCAAAGCGCCCGAAAACAACCCCATTTTAACCGAGAAGCAAGACTGGATGTGAGGGATTAAATCCGCGAAACTGACCGCAGAGTTAATGAGCAACTCTGGAAGCCAAGTCCCGAAAAGACACCTGTTTTAACCGTGTACTTTTTGGTCCCATTATTTAACCGTGTTTCAATCGTGTGCCGGCACGGTTAAAATGTGTGGTTTCCATTTTTAACCGTCAAACTGCATTTTTAACCGTGTACATTTTCATAGTGTGTGCCACTATATGTTTAGTGCCTATGTGAAGAAGACACTATGGGTTTGTTTATGGCTTGTGTGATTATGAATATAATAAGCCATGCCTCTTTGCACCATGCCCTCATTCACAGTTTAATAAGTACAACAAGATTTTAGGGGAAGTGGTGCAGAAAAATAGGGACTCATGGAAAATAGGAAAGCTTGGGATTTTCACCGGGAAATTTCTTGTTTAAATCATGGGACACATTTTATTCATGCTCTAATTTTTTTCCTTTGGGAACTAACTTGGAGTTGTTGAAGCCAACAGACTGTCTGATCTCTGATCCTGCTTTTCGACCTTTGATGCTTTGACCTGATATTGACTTATGAGCATTTTTTATAAAGTAAAACTACAAGAAATATTGCCTAAAATCTTTTCCTTATCTTTACAGTGCTTGCCATAACAATGGCACTTGTATGGACAGCATCAATGACTTTACCTGTGTCTGTCCGGATGGTTTCACTGGTGCCCACTGTGAGGAAGTGGTCAATTATTGCCACAGCAGCCCATGCCACCACCAAGGGGTATGCCAGAATGACCCACCGGCTGCCTATAAGTGCATGTGCTCACCAGGATTTGTTGGTCATGACTGTGAGGACAACTTTAATGAATGCTCTTCCTATCCATGCATAAATGCACTTTCCTGCGTAGATGGTGTTAACAGCTACACATGTGTCTGCAATGAAGGATATACTGGCCCCAACTGCGAGGAGGAAGTTGATGAATGTGTCAGCGGACCGTGTGAGAATCATGGGACGTGCCTGGACTTGGTGGCTGGGTACAGGTGCATGTGTGTTGCCGGGTACACTGGGGTTACCTGTGAGCAAGACATAGATGATTGTGCGGCTGTTTCATGTCACAACGGGCTATGTGTGGATGAAGTTAATGGCTTTCAGTGCTTTTGTCTACCGGGTTGGACAGGTAACTTCTACACAATTCCTCATAGCTTTTTTAATGCTGAGCAAATAGCTTTTTTTCATTTTATTTAAAGTTGGGCCAATTTCATGGCTAGGGTTCTACAAACTAACAGTGTAAGCTAACTAAAGCAGACAAAACATTTGCATATTTCGTTGCCGAGCAAGAAATATTGGCTTGTATATTTGCATAAAAACTGGTAATCAGGCTAAAGACCTTATTATGTAAATTACTTGGGAGTGGTTCCAATCTTAGAATGTAATTTTTGTGAGAAAATCATGTTTTGCTGAGCAGCTCATTACAATTTGGTCACTAATATTCCACCATGCTCCGATACTCCGATTATTTATTTATTGGTAGATATTGTAGCCACTGTTGTATTTTGTTGACAACTTACCCTTTTCCTAAACTTGACAACTGGTGCTTGGTAATTTTGATTTTCAGGTCAGCTTTGTGATGAGGATATAGATGAGTGTGACTCAGCTCCCTGCCTACACAGCAGTGAGTGTCAGGATCAGCTCAATGCCTATATCTGTCAATGCTCACCAGGCTACAATGGTACCAACTGTGAAGAAGACATCAATGAATGTGTCAATGTTCAGTGTCAGCATGGAGGCACTTGCATGGATAAGGTGGGGCTGCTTGGGTGTTAGTTGATTATATACAAAAGTGTGACACTGGTGGTCCTTGGGTATTGGCTGATTTAGACTACCTCCTGATGAGGAAGTCAATACAAGGGATCATTCATTTTTTACTATTTTCCTGAAATTAGCCACGTTGTAGTTGTGTCAATGGCGTAAATCTGTGTCGTAAATCTGTGTTGAGGACTCATAGGATGACACGTGAAGATTCTGTTTCGTTTGTTCGTAAGAGTGTGCCTGAAAATGTAGGAAAGAAAATAAGGGAATTTAATGTTTAAAAAGAATTAGGGTGTAATTTTTTGGGGTTTTTCTTTTCTTTTTTTTTGATGGGGAGGGGGGACAGCAATCACACAATCCGTTCATAGTAATTGGCCCCCAACATGGATAGCAATATAACATAGAATTCTTGTACAAAACAGTGTCAGAAATTTGTAAGTTTTTCTACTTTTTAAAAAGTTTTTGACCAAAAAGGTATTTGGGAACGTCTGGTTGAAACCAGGTAGGGGCCTGGTCGCCGATAATGACCCTTGCAATCACATTATCGCCAACCAGGCCCATACCCGGTTTGAAATCAGATGTTTAAAAGTGTCCTGCCACACTATAATTCCCTTAATTATGAATTCCAATCATCTATATATATAAGAGAGAAGTTTACTCGCCCCCGAGACGATGTTTGCTCCTGAAAAGATCTGAGACCGCGGGCTCCCGCGGCGCCAAAATCGCTCCACGTCCGTGGAAAAATGCGGAGGGTGTCTTCCGCCGGGTCGGACGCTTCGGGTCGTCCTGATTTTCCCGTACGGACCGGCGATCCGTTTCGTCGATTTTTCGTGACTGCATTTTGCACAGGAGTTTGCCGTCGTGTGCGCTTTCACGTTGACTGCCTGGCCGCCCCCCGTGCTGGCTTTTCTGCATGTCTAGACTGTGCAAGGTCAGCGAGGTCAACGTAGGGGTTTCGTTTACGTGTTCTACTCGGCCGTTCTGCAAAAGTGTTCACCAAATGTTAGTATGGGGTGACCTTGGTAAAATATTTTTTGTCCATGGTGCGTGGCCACCAAGTGTCCCTATTCTTTCATATGCTTCGCCTGCCGCCCCTGCGCCGAGTGCAACGAATACTCAGAAGGACTACACATAAGTATGCCTAGCGCGGTCTGACCAATCGAAAGTCTACACTGCGTGATACTTCCCGGCTATGCGTAAAACCGTCACTGGCAACGCGTACTGCAGCCTGCTCCACACCCTGGAAACGAGGTTGAGTCTACGGTGCTCGCTATTTGAAGCACAAGCATGTGACGTCGCGTGATAGAGTGCTGTTGCTTCCATAATGTGTTTACAGCTCCATGCTTCCACCAAGGCTGAGCATTGTGAGTTCGCTGCACGTCACAGTCAGTGTCGCGTTATAATTTCGGGGGCCTGTTTTGGATCAACGAAGGGTCAATGCATTGCTTTGCGATCTTGAACGCAGTCACAAAAAAATCGACAAAACGGATCGCCGGTCCGTACGGAAAAATTAGGACGACCTGAAGTGCTTGATTTGGCGGAAGAAATTCTCCGTGTTTTTCTATGGACGTGGAGCCATTTTTGCGTCGCGGGAGACCGCGGTCTCGGAACCTTTCAGGAGCGATTATTTCTCGGAGGCCGAGTAAAACTTGCTCTTATATAGATGGTTGACCAACTTGAATAAAAGTTGAATCGACTTTTTCCTCGCAGACGGTCTCGCAAATTGTAAGAAGTTCAAGTTTACGTTTGTTGAAGAGTCCAATACTGAAACTTAATTATGACCTTCCTCCATCATTCACACCGTTTGTAATTTTATGGTAACACTCAACATTTCCATTGCAAATGACAACTTCACGTTTGATTACATTATGATTTAGTGTCAAAACTGTACAATCAGCCTTCGCCTGTGTACTACGGTAACCTTTTCACTACGTTCTCCCGGCAATGCGACTGCCTCACAAAATGCCAATTTAACAGACCAACGGGAACATTTACAGACAGTTATCAGGGTACATAATTATCATGTGCGTAAATCGGTGGGGAACAGGGGGACCCCCCCCCCCACTTTTTCTTCCCCGAATAAAAATTGTAGCCTACTATAATGATTCTATTGCTCAGAATACCGTGTAGCTGATTCAATTACCCCAAGCTCGAAAATGATGTTTAAAAGATGATCTTTTGCTCAAATTGGTTTCAGTGGTCAGAAATTGCCTCAGATCACACCACAAAAATTGTTTTTCTATAACTGCATGTCTCCTCAATGATCCCCCATTTACATTTAACAGCCCACATTTTCATCCCCAACACTACGCCCTATATACCCGATCTATGATCGGGTAAATCAGCTTGTACATAATATACAGGGTGAGTGAGTAACAAGAAATGAAACCCAAATGGCAGGAGCAATTTTTGAATGAAGTTTTGCCTGTAGCACTTTCAAAATCTAGGATATGAAAGCCCAAATAATGAGCTTTCTTTTACAGGGCGTCCTGAAAACAATGGTGCATGTAATCCCCTCCATTTTTGCTAATTTACAATCAAAATATTCTGTGGATGTTTACACCATCTTCAAGGTAATAGATTTAGCTTGAGAATATCGTTTGTTTCATTGAGATTGCTTTTGTAAATCCAAAGATATGTTTGAATAATGGCAAAGCCAAGAAACCCATTTTGTGCCACTTTCTGTGAAGCAGTTAACATCAGTATAGTCCTAGTCTAAAACCAAATCACTTTACTGTTAGTGATTTTAACATTTTTAAGCAGAGTGTGCAATATTTATTTATATTTAATTGAACTCTTTCATTGAAGTTTTAAAGAAGTGAACCTGTCTGTACTATTAAATTGTTTCATCATAAGAACAAAACCCTATATTGTTGTGTGAATGGAATCTTTGTCTTACACACATAGGGATAATCTTATCAAAAGAATGTCTGATCTTTGAAGCACTCGCTTCCTAAAAGTGGCACAGAATGGTGTTTTTTTTTGGTTTTGCGGTTATTCAGCATATCTCTGGATTTACAAAAGCAATCTTAATTAAACAAACAGTATTCTCAAGCTGAATCTGTAACCTTGAAGATCATGTAAACATTTACAGTAAATTCCGGTTGTAAATTGGTGAAAATGGCGGGGTTTACATGCACCATTATTACATTTTCTTGTCCATTTTATGTCTACAAGTATATAAAAAGAAGTCAATATGAACATTTGAATGATTTACTCACTAGGTTGCCGCTTTTGATTGCGCTTGCGTCTATGGCTATAGAGGGCGCTATTGTGAGGAGGAAATCAACGAGTGTTTATCCAACCCATGTCAAAACGGAGCCATCTGCCTTGATGAAGTTGCCGCTTTCTCCTGTGATTGTGTGACTGGTAGGTTCCAGTTTAGCAACCAGCTAATGTTGAGTATCATGTGCCTGCAGTGCACTCACAACCCAATTACAGCTGAATGTGCACAAACCAGTAGCATCTTTCTGTAGGTGCTGGAAGCTTAGGACAACGTCAAAGGCACTGAAGTGTTTGGTCCCTTTCTCTTTTTTCACTGTTGACTTCGAGACAGAGTCCATTAAAGGCCTTTTACAGTCACCTACAGACTAAGGGTTGTTCTTAAGTACCATTTTTGGCTCTTTTTCATGCCATCCACAGCTCTGCATGCGCCTCATCTTAGTTTAGACATCTTTGTTTTGTAGCTCAATGAAATTGGCCGTTGGTCAAAGTGAAGACTTGTGTTGTGTAAGGCTTATTCCTTGGCACAAAGACAAATATTAGACATTGCATTGCATAGCCATGTAGTTCTGATTTTTATTGAACTGTCTGCTTTGTCTACAGGTTTCACTGGTCCCCTGTGTGATGTGGAAGTGAGAAGTGACCCGTGCACCAGTGCCCCTTGCAGTAACGGAGCTTCCTGCATAACCGAAGGCAACAGTTTCTTTTGTACCTGTGTAGATGGATACAGGTGAGCTTAGAACACATCAGCCACTGTCTCTTGTTTGGCCGATTTTTATTATTTTACCTGGACTACCCACAGCGGCATTGTTCTGAAAAGTACTGTATCCATAGCAACTGAGTTTTATAAATTAATTGGCAGCATTTGTACGACCATGTGACCCTTGCATTTATATATCAGTACAGTTGATGCGATGTGATGTAGTGACATAAAATGAAAATCTAAAATGTTATTTTTTAAACACGTCCCACCTTGATGTGATTGAAGATCATGGCAGGATCCCCATAAGACAGACTATATTACTGGTTGAATAAACTGAAATGGAATTAGATAGGAATCTTAAACAAGTGATACATTTTTTGACACAAAAATAAATCCAAATAATTATGCAAATGTGTGTGTTTTTGTTCAACAGTGGGGAACTATGTGATGTGAACGTTGATGAATGCATGAGTCAGCCATGTGAACATCATGCATTGTGCATAGATGACCTCAGTGCTTACCAGTGTGCTTGCCTACCAGGATACGTTGGCGTTCATTGCGAAAATGGTAATATTCATTCACTTAAATGTACAGTTATAATGGGAATTAGCAATGACCATTAAAGGCTTTGAATAGCATTTCTTCAAAATTATTTCTTCAAAGTGAAATGAGAAAAACGTCTTGATTAACTTACCAAGTATTATGGCTCTTTTTCTTTCTTACTATTGATAGAATTATCAACGGATTTTGACCTGGTATTCTCCAACAACACTGCATCAGACATCATCCAAGTCACCGGCGTGACTTCTGCTGGACTGTCTGAACTGTCCCTTACCCTGTGGTTTAGATCATCGGCCTGCACGGATGACATCATCATGGCAAAGTTATCCACTGCAACGACCAATGTCCTTGAGATCAGAAATCCATGCAGCCTGCTGCTGTCGCTTCTTGGGTGAGTTACAATGGGTAGTCTGACATTTCAAAAACAAATTCTCCTGTAACTTCATTCTCTCGCTAAAGCGTGACATACCTTTTTGTAAAGGCTTTGTGTTTTAGCTAATTAAAGAAAAAGAACTACAAAGTTGAGAAAAGAAATTGACTGGAGTGGGGTTTGAACCTGCAACCTCGAGATTGCCTTTCCAGTGCTCTACCATGTGAGCTATCCAGCCGTATATGTTGGCGGTTCCCCATTTTGTCAATGAGTTTGTTCAAGGATCACTATTCAGAAGCCATAGACCCGTATATGCCATGTAGCCAAGGATAACACCTTAATTCACGATGCTAGCAACAGTAGCCATGTTGGGAACCCGGGAAATAGCAAACGGGCCATGAGGATCATTCAAGAGGATTCGCTGCTCTTTTATTCATTTTCAAATAAACCACAATGGGAAACTGATCAGGTGCATTATAATAATTTTTTTCAATGTTGAACAAACAAAATGAATGGAGCAGTGTAATGGCATATAATGAAACGTACATCACATTTTATTGCATAAGTTACACATATTATGATGCATTTCACAAAAGTTGTACCTTGCGTTAGGTGTTGATTAATGGATGATGTTACTGTCTAGTTATGATGGTTTTAACACCCATCATTGCTCAAATTAAGATTGATACCAGCTGTATATTTCAGGTTCATGAAATTCTTCAACATTCAGCAACAATTCAGTAACACAAAGGCTCCTTTGCACCCCTTTTCCCCAGCCTTCACTTGTCTCGTCTGAGTAAGCCATGATATGTCCTCTTCCATTCCTGCAGATAGACATTTCATCAATGCCATTGATGTAAAGAACATTGCAATTCCTCCCTATGTTTTTATTCAAGCCATAATGTTGGTGTGGGGAGCCGGAGAGATTTCTGCGAGGGACGTTGGCACAACATCATGCTGGTCTTGAAACACCAGACTAATCTAGAGTGGAAGCTGTACATTGACCAGTCATTGGCAGCAGAGGGCACTGTCTCAACCCCCACAGGAAGTTTTCCAAGTGGCTTGTCATTAACCATTGGCCCTTCGGGTGAGATTTCTATTGAGTTATGGAAAACAAAACTGTACTGCAAGGACAATCTTGAGCAGATGATATATTACAGATGAGATATGTAAAATCCTTTTGGGCTGCTTGAAAATTGCAAGGAAAGTGATCACTAATGTAAAGTTGTGAAGTCACGACTAGTAGTTGCACCGAACATTTTGCAAAGTCCAACACACTTGAGTTGTGGACATTTTGTAGTGTCTATTTATTTATGATATGAAATAAAGGTGTGCATGATGAAGTTAGCAATTATTGTTTTCAATGTTGAATATGAGTCTTTTTTTGTACTGATTTATTTGAAATCTTGTTTCTAGTTTCTTCGGCTTCATTCAAACTCCACCATATTGTATACTTGTAGAATCAGAACAAACCTCAACGCCAACACTTTAAAATTTTCAATTTTGTATTTATGCTTATTTGGTGCACACCACAGCAAAACTTTTTAACTTGGGATTCTAGGATACCTATGTAGGAACGAAGGTGTGCTGCAAGTAAATTGTGTTGCAAGTCTAGTAGTTCCTGATGACTTTTGTTTGCATCAAGATTTGAACATGTATCAGAATTTGACCAACTACAAATGTTGTTTTCAGACTCTGAGACTGGTCCTGGTGATTGTCAGTTGGAGCTGAGTGGCCTGAACATATGGCAGGAGGCCCTAAGTGAGGTGGAGGTGACAGATGTTGCTGCCTACTGCGTACCGATCACACCTGGCAATGTGTTTGCATGGGGGCAAATCATGGCACTTCCTGGGGCTGGAATCACACACACATTGAGGGCGCCATCAATGTGCGATGGTAGGTAGAAACCATTTCCCTCCACAAAAGTGGGAGAAAGTTTAACACATTTTGAGGATATTGATTTGTTGGAACATTTATCCTTAAGATATTGTTTTGTGGGAGCTTTTTTACATTGAATAATTTTTGCAAACATTGAATTCACTTCCATTGTTGCTGTCCTCGCTTGTTGATCATAAGGGTCAAATGCAATTGTATTTTGCACATGACTGTTTTCAGCTGATTTAGCTTTTGCTTACTTTAAATTATGTCAACTCTAACAAAATGTCCTCGTTTTTCTGTCACTCAAGATTATGATGAATGTTCCAGCACCCCTTGTGAGCATGGCGGGTTGTGTGAGGACCGGCTTGATACCTTCTTCTGCCATTGTACTGAGGGTAGGCTAGGAGACAGGTGCCAGACCATGCTTGATTTATGCCTGCTGAACCCCTGCCTTAATAATGGCATGTGTCAGAGTGACTTGTTTGGATTCAGGTGCCAGTGCCCTGTGGGATACACCGGCAGGGTGTGCGCAAACCAGATTGGTAAGTCCTCCTTGGGCCACGTCCCAAGTATAGAGCACTGTCAATACGTTGTATTGAGAGTATCAAAACTATAAAAGCTTGTGAATATGTGCAGTGCAAGAAAATAGACCTGCATATGTAACATTCCACTCCAGGACTTTTTAGAACTTCACAAATAATGTACATCTCAAGGACCATCTGTTATGAAGTGTCTATTTCTATACAATCTTTCTACAGTCTTGCCACTATGTGCTGCTTATGTGAACCACATGACTTGCTTCTCTGATGCTAAAGATTGATTCATAAGTACCTAAGACAGTTTACATATTCCTATTGGTCGAGAGCCCGTCACGTGGCCGGTCTTAAACGGATGATAAAGACATGGCTAGCTGGTCTTAAACACTTTTCCAGTGTCACAATAAAATGTGGACTCCTAAAAATCCAGTGCCTCTTATCGTTTCATTGGTTGAACGTTCACAATCCTCAAGTAGGCATGCGCAACACTACCAGGGAGTCAGAATTTTAAAGTTCTAAATTCAAAACGCAACGCGCCAGGTGCGTTCTGCGCGACATTGCGCAGAACATGATACGCGCGCGTCAATCTCCATAAAAGGGTTGTTTACATCTTACTCGCCAGCTGAACACTCCATTATTTTGCAAGAGGGATGTTTCAAAAAGCATAAAGTGAATTTGTTGAACAAAATCGGAATGTTTTGAACGAATTATATGATTTTTTCTTACCGAAAAGGTATTTATGAATGGTGCTGATAATTACCCTCGCCTCCGGCTCGGGTAATTATCAGCACCCAGACTCTAAGTGGTCTTAAACAGAGTGATAAAAACCTTCGAAGCACACATTTATTCCCTTAATAAAACTCGATCGTAAATATATCCAGGATATTTACATGAATCACGCTTATCCTTGGGTGTAATGTTTATAGGAACCACCCAGAAACACCCAACATCCAACAATGGGCAGTAACCAGTTGTCAGCCCACATAAAGACAAAAAAGTTTCACTGCTTAGAAGAGCTTTTAAGACTTTGAAAGTAACCAGAATAAAAAATTGTTTAAATGACAAAATTGCCTATGAAAATGATGGTGTTGCATTAAAAGGAGGAAGTTAAGTAAAAAGATGAAGATAATGAAAATAATTTCCCAGTTTAATTTGTTCATTTCCACAGTGCAATGCGAGTTCACTAGGTGGGGACTGTTTTCAGCACTATAGTATATATCTTCGCAATGTTTAAAGTAGTAAACCATGAGAGGATTTTTGTTAATTTCACAGTTGACGGTCAGTGGAGTGTATGGATGTCTTGGTCCCCATGTTCAAAGACATGCGGGACTGGCAGTCAGCTCCGATTTAGGTCATGTGACAACCCGGAGCCCCAGAATGGAGGGGCACAATGTCCGGGGGCATTCTACCAGTCAGAGGAGTGTAACACAGACAGATGCCCCAGTAAGTCATGAGTAGTATGTTTGTAATCCACTCTGGTGAAAAACATGTCATGAATGGATATTGTGTTCACAAACTTCAGCACTTCTGGCATTTCCTGGTTTTACTTAGTCGTTAACAAATCAGGAAACTTAATTTTAAAAATGAAACAAGACCTCAAACTTTACTTGTAACTAATCACAAGTAGGGATCTATTTTTCATTATCTTTTTATAATTTACCCCACAAACCAATTTCGAAATTGTCATCAATTTCTGGCAAACCACATATAACTGAAGAATTTTCATCCTTAGCCTGTCCAGTTCTGCGGAGTCCGCTGCGTGGCTTCATTGATTGCAATGAAACGGACGATGGGGAAATTTCGTGTCGTATCTGGTGTCGGGACAGCTATGTTTTCAGTACACCACCACGGACCGAGTACCGGTGTGGTCCCAGTACTGACTACCTGTGGGACCACAATCCTGAGAACAGCCGCTCAGTTCGACTGCCAAGCTGCAGCTGTAGGTCTTTTTGTGTCTTTTCGCATGTAGACAAGTACTTTCCAAAATCCATCCCAAACACCAGTCAGAAATATCAGACAATCGGTTTTAAACATAATGACAAAATTGAAAAATGTTCCCTGATAATCTACGGGTTTTTTATGCGTCTTTAAATTGATCAGACAATATTAGAATGGCCAAATTGCCATTAAGAGTTAATTTGCATTCTCTTGTTGCCGGGTAACACAACACCCTGTACGACTCACAAGTGAGTCTGTAGGATCACTTGTTGCAGCACAGAGTCACTCTCATTATTGTCATTGCTATCCATACTTGTCACTTTCCTTTTTATCACATGGCAGTATTGGTTCCCCGCGTTGCCATTGCTGCCAACATCACCGTGACATATCCTGATCTGCACTGCGGCTCACTGAGTGATCAGCGTGACATCTACGATGGGGCTTCTGCTACCCTGCACAATTCCACGCAGGGGGCCTCAGGATGCCTGGCACTAAACACCTGTGCTGCTAACATCACCGTGAGTATATCCATTAACCCAGCAGGCATTTGTGCTTGGGATCGTCCTTCATCCTCAGACATCCTGCACTGCATAGGATACCAATGACACATTCTACACACTGCCATCAGACAGAACAGGGGTTTAGTTAAGTGTTTATTAATAGAAGATTCTGGAAACTGATTAAATTCTCTTTACCATACCAAGACCACATCCCGACCATTGAAGGAGTGTGATGCTGTTGTATTGGTCTAAATGGAATATTCAAAGACAGTAGCCATTTTTTCCAAGTTGAAAAAAAGCAATTACTGGCAAAATGTCTTACCCTGAAACACATGCACTATATATATGTAGGACCTTTTCAACAAAGTTACCAGCTAAGGACCACACATTTTCACAGAGCAGGCCATAAACAAAATGTGCGTGGCCACCAACATGAGATTTACACGTAGGAGAGTTAATGAGTGAAAGATTTTACAAAAGTTGACTTGATGTTTCGAATCGTGTGCTTTGCTTTTTCTTCAGGAGAAACTTTCCTCCGTTTTATTATGCAAGCCTTGTTTTTCTAACCTTGTTCCAGGTCTCCAATTGTGACACACAAGATCACCGCACCACCAGGGCTACCGTGCGGAAGAGAAGCTCACCATCCCCAGTCAAAGTGACTATTTTGTTCACCATGGCTGACCATACTTCAGTTGGCCATAGTGGTGTTCCTGACAGTAAGTGGCTATTCAGCCTTGCTTTGCACATTGCTCCCCTTCAAATTTTTGGATCAAGTTTAAAGAGTTGGGTTTTGGTTTTATTTAAAATCAAACATGAATTAGGAAAGTTGAATAGATTTCAAAATCAAGAATATTTTGCTGCCCCCTGTTTTGTGAAAAGGGCTGGTTTTTAATAGATGAATAGTATCACCACACATTAACAATCATTTATTCGTGGGGAAGTGTCCAACATAATTGGCAGTGAATAGCACAGACAGGTTCTGTTCATAGTTTTCCATTAATCCTTTTGACCTTTTCTTCCCCTATGTCTTATGTAGATAGTTCAGTATTAACAGAAATGGATATCAGATCCACCCTTGATGAAGTGACAGAACTCATGCAGCAGGGGCAGTTTGGCATCATGTACCATGGTGAAGTGTCACAGCCTGACATTGAGACTATTGCTGAAGATGGTTGGGATGTCTGTCCACAAGGGAGTGTGGAAAGTGAACAAGAGGGGCTGTGTGGTGAGTACAACATTTCACCAGCCTTGTGTGCATTGTATATGATACTAGTCTGGGACAGTGCACTTAATGTTTCTGAAGCTTGGACTAGTTCACTATTTATTCACTAGCATAATTAGTGCATTGTACGTCATTTTTGTTTTGTGCTTTTCCTCTTTTGTTCGCTTGAATTTCTGCAGTTCAGTGCAGCCAAGGTTTAATCTGGGAATGGGATGCCTTCCAGCTTGACTACGTCTGCAAACCATGCCCTGTCAACACCTACAAAGATGAACAGAAGAACGTCTGCACAGACTGTCCACATGGAATGGTGACAAGTGGTCCTGGAGCTACCAACATCAGCCAGTGCTTTGGTATGCATTCCTTTGTTGTCAGGGCTTAGAAGTCCTGGAAATGGTTATCCATGCTTAGGAGTCTTGTTGCACTTATACTGGACTGCTAGCCTGTGCTGTTCTCATAATTGTGCATAAACACTTACTCACATTCAGACTCACTCAGTGTAACCAATTACAATCTGAGTGTTCAAGTACTCAAGCTTGCACCACTGTTCATACCCAAATACTAGTTTCTGTGCTCATTCTCATACCCAGGTCATATTCTGTTTGTCAAAATGTACAGCCTAAGGAAAGAAGTAGTCACACACATTTTGACTCATACTCCAGAAGAGTTTTACTGTTCTATACTTATACACTCGTACTCATCAGAACCCAAAGGGTTACAATCGCGCTTGATGTGTACTATTGGCAAAGTACTCACCTGTTGATTTGTTGTAGCATTGAGTAGTGATAGCCTGTTCATGTTACTGTGTTTCATACCCCCCCCCCTTCTTGTGTAACTGTTAAGTATACAATCAATGATTTATTTGAATTTGTTTGATTCAAAACTTTATCTTGATTGTAGATGTTTTGTACACAAGTTCTGACCCGGTCGCTCTTGAGAAGCTTACTCTATAAAATGTGTTAATAACTTTTTAAAGACTTCAACACTTAGTCTAAATTGTCATATTTTTTTTTCATTTTTCTCCTAAATTGAACTGACCTGAACGGTAACACTGCCTCAACAGCTATTGGATTTTTGGTAAATGGACGCAACTTCTGTTTTAGATGTGCCCCACTCATTTCATTTATATACTAGCCTTTTGTATCAGAATGCAGCAACCTTTGGAAGTCTAAACTGTCAGATGGTGTATACTGCTTTGAATAATTCTGTATGTATATTTTCATTTGCATTTCCTTACACAGAGACACAGATTGGCAAGGATCCTGATACTGAGACAGTGAATTTCAAAGTGGTTGCCATTTCCATGGCCTGTGTTGGGCTCATTCTGATCATTGCCACTGTTGGACTGGTTGTCTGTAAGCTGAAGTGAGTGAAATATGCAGGATACCATCATTGCTTGAAACAAGTGTAGTAGTTTTACCAATAATGGCTTCACTTGATATGGCATGGTGGGGTATATGGTGAACTGGCTCAGTTCTAAACCCACGCCCAAATGTAAAGCACTGTTTGCACTCATTGCTACTAATAAATCTGTCCATTTTGCTGAGACCATAAGCAATAAACACAACAAAGAGCATGCTTAATTTCAAAGGCACAATTTACTTTAATATATGACAAACAGTAAATGATCTCCATGTGTACACAAGTGTTAGCAGATCATCCCTGCTTTGATGATTTTCTTGCACAATAAGTCAGTTCGGTATTCCAACTGCTTGTGTGCACATCAAGATGTGACAATTTTTCTTTTGGTATAAACATTTCATTGTATCCGTGCAAAAGCATAACGGGGTACCAGCAAAATTGAAGAGATTGTCGTGTTCTGAAGTAACATTTTCCAAAAATGTTTTGACAGCGAAGTGTTATGAGGTGTCTGGTGTCTTCAATCTTTCGTGGGAACAAAAGTTTCCATCTCTTTTCGATAGCACGAAAAATTACACAGAATGCAGATTCAGTTACCATGTCCCCAATAGCCTTGTGTGCATTTATCTGCCACGTTTATCCCAAAAATAAATCGTCAAATCTTGTTGTGTACCAGACTATTTTGGAATACCAAACTGGTTTATTGGCACAACTTCTTTTTTGCTGCCCATTAGGCCTTGGCATGAAAATGCCTCCAGACCCCCCAAAAAATGCAATTGAAAGATTCAATTCCAAAGTTCTTATTTAGAATTTAACAAAAACTTAATCATCCACTCACAAGAACTGCTTCTGTTCCTTGCTGAAAACAACTGGAGGAAGGTTTAACCTGGTTCAAACATTTATCTCAGGCTTTTTTATGACTTATTTTGTCATGTGACAATCGCACGCACTAGATTTAAATAGTTGCTTGTCTCCAAGCATTCTAAATGCATTCAAAAATGTTGTTTTGTACATAACCACAAGTACAAAATTTGTACATTTTTTGTATAGGAAGCAGAAAGTGACCAAGAAATTGTCCATGGTTGACAAGACTTCCCCAGTTCATGTCATCCCTGACATATTCCAGACAAGCTCAGCAAGTCTTGAGATCAAGCAAGGTACTACTTATTATCAAAAGCAGCTAATGACAAAATGTTTAATTTCCTATCATCACATTAAAGACAATCAAACAACAAGTAATACTATCCAGGGACTGATCTAGCTTTCAGGAAGGGGGGGGGGGGTGAGTGAATGCGTGCTAGGGGGATGCGGGGGCATGACCCTGGAGAATGTTGAAATCTGTGATGCTTTCTCCTGCATTCTAAGGCAATTTGAGAAACATTTCAGAACTTTTTTTGGGGGGGGGGGGGAAGTCCGCCATTGCTATCATACATTCATTGAAATTGAGGGCCAAAACAATTTATAGGGATCTTTACAGTAACGTTCTTAATGAAAAAACCTGAAAAAAAATATATTAAAAACCTCACACAACATGCAATATGGATGCATGGAAGCAGCGGCATAGCCAGGGTTGTCATCCAAAGTGGGGAGGGGGCAGGCTTGATGTTGCAGTGAAGGGGCGCCCAATTTCATACCATCTGAAATGTAGACAGGGTTTTTTTACCGGACGCTCGGCTCTATAATATCTAAAGGTGATGGGGGGTTCACATCACCATTCAATCAGGTCTGGTTTTTATGATAAATGCATCGTGCAATTGGGACAACTGAATTATACAACTTGATTTTAAGACATCATGAACAGTTGATAGGAATAACTTCTACTCAACCAAGGTGTAAGCTTATTCAGATTTCAAAGAAGTTTCTCATTTATATGTAGATGAGCCAGCTTCTAGCCCTATTGGTGAGGCCCTTCCAGGAGGCACACACACCTACTCAGATGAGCAAGACTTGAGTGGAATACTGAAACTCACCCAAACCAAACTGTAATCGGATCTCCCGCAGACTGGACAGACAATATTCCTGGAAATTCAACATTGCTCAAGTATCGTTTAGTGCAAAACGCATGTACTGCATGTCTAAGCTTTATCCATCTATACTTAGGTAGCTCTGGCTTGATTTTGTAACACTGTTAGACATTTTATAGTCTTTGCCAGTCTAATGAATATTTACAGTCAACATAAAATCATTGCAGTATAGCTGTCATTGGGACAAGCAGATAATTATGCAAATTAAGACATATCTGGAAATCTGAAGAGGATGTTCATTATATTTTATGATTACAGTCGACTCTGGTTAGTACAAACTCTGTTAATACAAAATTCTGGTTATAACAAACATAAAGCCTTGGTCCCGACTGTGCATTTATATGCACAATGAATGGGACTGATGTTCCTCTTAATACAAAATTCTGATATAACAAACAATTTGGCTAGGTCCGAACGAGTTCGTTATAACGAGACTCGACTGTAAATAAGAGATGGCACTGAGAAACCTGACAAGTACAGTCAAGTACAGTAGGTGATGAAGGACACACTTCGCACTGTTGATCTTTTCTATGATGTACACAAGGCAAGAAATTGCTTAATGGTCATTCTGTGTCTGCGCTACTTGTCAGTTTGTACCATTGAAGGAGTACTTGTGTACAGGGTCCAGAGCCAATTGTTTGTTTGTTGCTAGATTATTTCTGTAAAGGATCAAGTAGTAGTACATGTCATATTTATTGCAGTAAAATTGATTGCTGTTGTACACATATTAAATTTTGTAGTATTCAGAATGACTTGCAGTGTCAGCCAATTCGTCAAAGATAGATTATGTTCAATTTTTATTAGATACTTTTTATTTGAATATGTAGTTGTAGTCCACTGCTAAAATAGCTGCCTTTTCACTGTAAAATTTTGCCTTAAAAAAACTTTTGCCTTCAAAATGTTCTTGTGTATGTTTCAATATTTTTTTAGATATAAGATACAATTAGTTTTGTGTACAAGTACATTTGTATCCAACCTTTTAGTAATTCTTATGATCTAGACTGCCTTATACATGATTGTGCGATTTTTGTTATACAGGGTGCCCCCCCCCCCCCCCCGCAATCAACCCTCTTTTTTACATCTTTTAAAAAAAATCATCACAAATATTGACATTTGACAAGTTTATTTCATTAGCTTTTCAACACCGAAAAAATCCATCTAAATTGGAGAAATATTTATTGAGTTATGGCCAATTCAAAACCACGTTTTTTATTTTGTCCATGTCTCAATTGTCACTTATTAGGAATGTAATGGATTTGGGTTGAGGGTAGTTTTACTTTTTTTTTTAACATTTTATAATCTTTATTTGTTTCTTTAAAATGATTTTTAAAAAATCTTTTGCAACAATGGTCAATTATCTTTTTAGAAAAGGACTATTTTGTTTAACATCTTAGATGTTTACTTTCTGCTCTGCCCTCTTCTAATGGATGTCTCTTTCACGGAAGCAAGTTTTGGCCGTTATTGTGGCAGTCAAGCATCAGTCACAAAAAAAACAGATAAAAGTACAAGACTTGACAATCACATAAGAACTGAGGTAAAGGAAACAATAATGGCGATAATCAAAAGTGCTGTAATAGAGCACAGGAAAAGAATTTGAATGTGAACTGGACGAATTAGGAAAACCTGTGGACACATAGGTCTAGCCAGCATTGGTAGGGAGGTATTTGCACACTATTGTGCGATAGTGTGCATGATTGACGAATTTGAACAGCGCCCCCATTGGAATATGTACCAGGCCCCCCTCCCCCCCCCCCCCCCCCCCCAACTTTGTGATTTTACGGAGGCCAAGTTTTTTTGGGAAAAAACCTGTCTTCATTTCAACACTGATTTGCTGATTAAAAAAAATCTGCCGGGCCTGACCCTCCCCCCCCAAAAAAAATTCCTAGATCCGCCCCTGTAATAATATGGATTTATTTCGATTTCAGTTTCAATTCTTTATTACCCAGTAAATGACATATCGTACGAGGCACAGCACCTCCATTTAATTAACCTAGCCAGCTTTACCATGCAATTAGATTTTGCCACTTAAAACATGTACACAGATATTGCCACCTATGCATAAAAATATATACACAGTTTTATATCCGCAATAAATGAAGCATATCTCAGAGTTGACGTTTTTGTGGATAATTTCCCCTCTCATGTAGTTTTGTAGTTTGAAGCATTTAAATTAGCATGTACGGTTTTCATTTTTTAAACCACATTGAATTTTGAAGACGTTTAAAACCTTGAATGTCCTTGCACGATAGAAATGACAGATTTTTGCCATGTTTTAATATTTTGAGCTTTTAATTGCCCGTCAATTTGTCTTCAAGAACAATAGAGGACATCTTTAAGTTTGCAATTAACTATTTCCGCTCTCCGTAAACACGTGGATTCGTCCCTAATCAAATTTCGCGCCAGATAATGGGTGATGATGTAGCCTAACCATTTTTCTTGGATTTGTTCTTAATTTGGAAATTCCAATGTAAATCAGTGCTATCAATGATCAACAATTTTAAAAACTTTTTTTGATTAATAACAAAAACGAAACCCACCAAAAGTGGGAATAAACACATATTCAACATACTGGTTCAATAGGCTGGCTGCTAGCTTGTTAAAACCGAGAAATATCGCGCCCGGCATAATATCAATAGTGCGCCAGCTATACTGAACACCCCCGGGATATAGTGTGACGTCCCACAACTGCTGGATGGGGCTAGCTATGTAATATTGTATACGAGTTTAATTCTGTGTACGAGTTGGACGAGTTTAATTCTGTGTACGAGTTGGACCACGTACGAATTGTCCTGTGTACGAATTGGCCTGTATTCGGCCTATGTACACGTATACATTCATGCATGCATACTCGCCGTGGCCAAGCTGTGGGCACAGGTGACATCAGGGGCATGTACGAGGGGATAAAGCAAGCCACAGGTCCCTCCATCAAAAAAATGGCGCCTCTGAAATCCAAGTCCGGAGAAGTCATCACCGACAGCAGCAAACAGATGGAAAGGTGGGCTGAGCACTACATGGAGTTATATGCCACAGAAAACACAGTGTTAGAGGAGGCTCTGAATGGCATCGTAAGCATGTCTGTGATGGAGGAGCTTGACAAGGACCCCACGCAAGGGGAGCTCAGCAAAGCCATTGACAGCCTCGCTTGCGGCAAGGCCCCGGGTGCTGATGGGATAACTCCTGACATCATCCAACTTGGGAAACCAACCCTTTTGCCACATCTTCACGACCTCCTCTGCCTTTGCTGGAATGAAGGAGCCGTCCCCCAGGACATGCGTGACGCCAAAATCGTCACCCTGTACAAGAACAAGGGCGACCGCAGCGACTGTAACAACTACCGCGGCATCTCTCTGCTCAGCACTGTGGGGAAGGTCTTCGCACGCGTTGCCCTTATCAGGCTCCAGCTTCTGGTGGAGCGCGTCTACCCTGAGACACAGTGTGGCTTCAGGGCAGCAAGATCCACGGCGGACATGATCTTCACCCTTCGACAAATGTAGGAGAAATGCCGTGAACAGAGGAGACTTTTGTATCTCGCTTTCGTCGACCTCACAAAGGCCTTCGACCTTGTTAGCAGAGATGGTCTCTTCAAGCTGCTTGAAAAGATTGGTTGCCCTCCAAAACTTCTCAGCATCGTGACATCATTTCACAATAACATGCAGGGTTCAGTCTGTTGTGATGGAGAAACTTCAGAGGCCTTCCCAGTCCGCAGCGGAGTGAAGCAGGGCTGTGTTCTTGCACCGACCCTCTTCGGAATTTTCTTCTCTCTCCTGCTGTCGTTTGCATTTGGCTCATCCCCTGAAGGCGTCTACCTACACTCAAGAGCTGATGGCAAACTCTTCAACCTTGCCCGCCTGAGGTCCAAGACGAAAGTGACCAGTGTACTCCTGAGGGAAATGCTATTTGCAGATGATGCAGCTCTAGCATCACACACACAGAGACAGGGCTCCAGCAGTTGGTGGACAGGCTCTCTTATGCATGCAACGAGTTCGCCCTCACCATCAGCATTAAGAAGACCCATGTCATGGGCCAAGAAGTCGAAACCCCACCCTCCATCTCTATTGACAACAAGACCCTAGACTGTGTGGGCACCTTCACTTACCTCGGATCAACAGTCGCCAGCAACCTGTCACTTGACGCAGAACTGAGCACCCGTCTTGCCAGGGCCGCCACAGTGATGGCCAGGCTGGCAAAGAGAGTGTGGTCTAACAAGAACCTAACTGTGCGCACAAAACTCCAGGTCTACCAAGCATGCGTCATCAGCACTCTGCTATACAGCAGTGAGGCCAGGACCACCTACACCAGACAAGAAAAACGGCTGAACAGCTTCCACCTGCGCTGCCTACGCCGCATCCTTGGCATCACATGGCAGGACAAAGTCCCCAACACGGAAGTCTTGGAACGTGTCCACTACACCAGCATGTTCGCCAAGTTGAGCCAGCGCCGCCTCAGATGGCTCGGTCACGTCCACAGGATGGACTCCGGTCGTCTCCCAAGGGCCATCCTGTATGGCGAGCTTTCGTCAGGCTCCAGGCCAATTGGTCGTCCGAACCTACGCTTCAAGGACGTCTGTCAACGCGACATGAGGCAGGCTGGCATAGACCCCAACAGCTGGGAGGAAGCCGCCAAGGATCGCAGTGCTTGGAGGCAGACAGTCGCCGCAGGGATCCACCGCGCTGAGGAGAGGCGCACCTCCTTGCTGCAGGAGAAGAAGCAGAGGAGGAAATTGCGAGTAGCAGCCCTCACCCCTGAGTCAGTCCCCACTCCTTTCGTCTGCGCTAACTTACTTGTAAAAAAAAAAAAAGTCACATATCAGCCAAATAATGTGATAATTTTATAAGCATGAATAAAATTGTTAGTTAAATGTTTTTTACCCTCGCAAATCTTTTTTTTGTTTTGTTGCTATCATGCTTCAAATTCAAAATGGCGGCCAATGTAGTGGCCCATATGGGCGCCTTATTGGGAAATAGAAAAACGTCATTTACCAGCCATATACATGTAATGTAGCCATGTGCTCTCTAGGAGGTAGAATTTCCTGCATGGGTACATCTAATTCTACCTCCATGATCTGACTTCTTCCACTGCGCTGCCCTGTACCGGCCTTTTGAGTATGATCCTCAGCCGATATGTTTGCCGCTCTCGGCCGGTACAAGGCCGGTCTTGCTCCAGTATTTCAACGGCAATTCACTCACTGAACGAACAACCTACTGGTATGCAGCCTGTCAGCCTCCAAAGTTAAACAAAGAGTTCTAAGCGGATT